ATTGTCTACAGCGTGCTTTATTACTGATTACTTTCTTTTTCACACAAGTAAAAGTGAATATCTAGAGATGTACTAATCTGATCCTACAGAACATTAAAAGCAACAAAAAGCTGCACATTTTGACAAACCTGAATACATGCAAGTAAACATGAGTCCCAGTGCAGCTAGGGCTCTCTGAGGGTTCGGCAAGCAAAGTCTGGGAACAAAGATCAGTGAGTGGTGTATACCATTCTATATCAACTCCAGACTAATCATTCAGGTTTAAGTGGATACGGCAACAACAAAGAACAGTGAAACTCACAAAACAAGCCACACCATCAACAAACTATTAATATCAAGCCCAATTATAATACAATTTAAATGTGGATCATCCAGTGGGAGAAAAAAGAACAGACCCACTACCTCCCTAACAAACATGTCATACAAGGCAACTAAATAGGAGATAATTCTTCAAGGTTGGAGTACATCTGCAAACTAACAGTCTGCATACAAGTGAGCCAGATCTGTCAAATGGATGTGCAAGCAAAACTCAGGTTCTGGAACACTACCAAAGTCCATAAAGAAATGAACAAACATCCAGAACTTTCTGCGAAAGTTTACAGCCAGTGAACACTAAAAAGAAGAAGAAGAATAAGATACATTTTAAAAGAAAAAGACAATATAATGAAAAAGAATCCTCTTTTTATTCTACTGCATTCATCCAAAGATATTGTGGATATATGTGCCAATTTCAAGCACAGAAGCTATATTTGCACATTCTGGTCAACAGGTCCAACCTTTTCAGGCTTTTGTTGCCCAGGTCAATAATGGATGAAAGTAAGACACAGAGAACAATAAGAAAAACTTGTATGTTACTTCTTGTCAAAGTCTTAGATGCTTTTCAACTATATAGAATAAAGTAATACTACCTAAAAAAGTACAAGGGTTCAATCATTTAGAAAAAAACTAAAAGAATTTCATGTCAAAAGAGGTTTTTCAGACATGAATACTATACGGACAGCCAAAGAAGAATAGTATACAAACACTTCTTCTTCTTCTTTGTTCACCGGCTCTTAGCTCTGGCAGAAATCCTGGTTGTTCGTCCATTTGGACTTTGGATATATGCCATGACCTGAGTTTTGCGTATACATCTGTTGTACTGGCTTATTTGTGTGCAGTTGGTTGTTCCTTGCCACTCAGGCAGATGCACTTCAACTTCAAAGGAAGCCCCCCATTTAGTCAATTCCTACGACATGCTTGATGGGGTGGCAGTGAGTATATTCTTGTTTCCCCCATCAATGGAGCTCCAGAACCTACACTGGGAGTAAACCAACACAGAACTGGAGTCATCAGTCATCACACGCTGAGGGAGATAGGGAAGAAGGGACCCAGGTGCTCATGGACTAGTCCAATGTGTTGTGATTACTGAGTGATTGAAATTTTACTGCTCAATATAAATTTAACTGCACATGTTAAATATTAGTTAAAAAGAAATGAATTAAATCAACCGAAATTACACAAATTATATAATCCATTGTTGTATAACTTACCTTGGAAGTATTATATTAATCAAGCATCCTTTTATTTATACTACAATACAGTGTATAGACCAAAGATGTGCTTGATAGATAACATTCAGAAATGGACAACAAGATCTCTTAGATAAAATTAAATGTTAGCAAAAGACAAGAAATGTGGAATCAAGCCATACAGAGCACAAGAGAAATGGTAGTGTGTTAATGACAAGTTATGAAAAAAATTATGACAACGCTATTACTTAAACAAATGTTTTTAAAAAAAGGGCTATCTTCAGAATAACGGTCCCAAATTATCAAGGCAGAAAATAACAGGCCTCAGTCACGTGTCAATTGGCCACTTCCGGGGACTATACCGCCACCGCCGAATTGCGAACTTCCGGGGACTATACCACCACCGCCAAGAGTATCCCCACGCAGCGCAGTGGTGTGGACTGGGGCTAAACTAGATGGCTGGGACTCACGAGCAAATAAAATCAAGGCAGCTGCAGGAAATGGGGTAGCTGCTGCTCGTGAGTCCCAGCCATCTAGTTTAGCCCCAATCCATGCCGCGTGAGAGGCGTGGGGGATACTCTTGGTGGTGGCGGAAGTGCGCAATTTAAATCGCCGGAAGTGCGCAATTGACACGTGACTGGGGCCCTGTTAGGGTATATTTTCTGCCACGATAATTTGGGACCGTTATTCGGAAGATAGCCAAAAAAGAGAGAGAGAAAAGAAAACTCTTGTGATCAAAGTTGAATACTGATAGATACCTGTCCATGCTCAGTTTGATGATTGTTTCTGTGTCTGATGCAGTCAGTACATCAGTCAGTAGTAGTCTCTCTGTGCCCTTCATCACCGTCAAAAACACAAAAGTTGAGACATTCTCTTCTGAGCCTGAAACTGTCTGCACAACCAGCTGAAGAAAGAAAACAACATTCAGAAACTTGATAACAAGACTAGAGATAATGCAGTCCCGGTTAAGATGAAAACTTAGGATGAATAACATAAGATTATCATTAGAAATAAATTTCACTTCATAATAACACAGTCTGTGCATGAGTGTGTACATCAAACCCATGTGTTTTGTAGTACATTCATGGTCTGTGTGTGTGTGTGTGTGCATGCATGTGAGAGAGAGAGAGAGAGAGAGAGAGAGAGAGAGAGAGAGAGAGAGAGAGAGAGAGAGAGAGAGAGAGAGAGAGAACGAACGAACGAACGAACTTTATTTTCAAAGGGTCACAAATTGGGCATGCAGGCCCGTCTTACATTCGGCCCTTCCAGTCAACCAATTTTCACACAGCAATTGTATTTTACTAATAAAGCATGTTATGATCATATGATGATATACATATTATGAATATTATAAAAGAACACAAAAGCATGAGTTGTAAAGTGCATGGGAGAGAGAGAGATATTGTGTCTGCGTGTGTATGCATGTCCCTATCTACAATTTGCTGTGGCTCTGTAGCTCACAGGTTGGTACAATCGTTTTAAAATGAATGCAATCCTCAACATTTACCAGGGTTTGATGGATGGTTCAGAAAAAGATCACTCTTTGGATCAAGATGGTGGGTCAAGACCCACGGAAGAAGCTGGAGCCTCACCTTGTAATATATCCATTGTCAGCGGTAGAATTACTACAGCCAAACTCAAATGTGGAGATGGCAAATTTTTCTTTTGGTTTTTAAACAGCATCATGTCTCAGACACATTTACACTGGGCATATTCAATGTCACAGGGGGTTAGAAGAAACAGTGCTGGAAAGCATGGCTCTTGGAAGGAGTGACAGAGGTAGAGCAGTATTAAGATGGATGCAGGACACTGAAGACACCTTAGTCATATCAACACATTAGACAGGGGGACCGGCGAGGGACTGACATCCTTACCATCAGGTTGCGATAGCAAAAAATATTTTGCAAAGGATCTGCTACAGAATGTTTACCTATCACTTTATAATTAGTTCCAGGCATTTTTTAACTTGTGTGGCAGTAGCTATAAAAATTACACTGCAGGCAAAGTTGAATCTAGGTGAGCAAGAGGAGAGACAGATAGCTGAGTAATCACTGAAGCCAACCTTTAATGTGAAGACAGCACCTGACTGACCTATTCCGTATCAGTACCATCACTAACAGTTTTTCTTTAAAAGTTTTCCCTTTGGCAACTACAGTTTTTAATACAGATATTAGAAATCTTCAAGGATACTATTTTTTTAAACCTCTGGCAATAGCACTGTAATGTTATTTAGGACACCGTCATCACTCTAGACTTGTTGCTTCTCCTGTGTAGATTAAAAGAGAGTGGACAAGAAAATAAGATCAAGCAGAGTCAGGCTGGGACCAACGAAGGGTGTTCCATGGCCGGCATATGACAGACTGTTGCTTACTACTTTCCCAGCAGAAAATTATGTGCTGACACAGTCTGGAAGTAGAATCAGTTTTTTTCTTTTATTTCACCCATCTTGGAGGCTCAGCAATTTTGTAGGGAATTCCCAGGAAAGTCCAATATTAAAGGGGGAGTTACGGTTAGGGTCAGCATTAGCCAGTGTTTATTTCACACCCTAACACCCCCATACTATTAGACTTTCCCGGGAATTCCCTATAAAATCTCAGAGATCCCAAGACGGTGTGAAATAAAAGAAAAGAGCTGTAGGATCTAATTTCTTGTTCTCCATTTTTGAGAGATGGTCTATGCAGCAGTACAGACAAAAGAAGACCAGTCACCTTCTACAGTACTGCCAAAGGTAGTCTTATTCTCTTTCTTCTGCCTTTTATTTCCCATTGAAGCATAAGCCCCCAACAAACCTCAAATCCTTTGACAGTAATAAGAGGTATGTGTGACTTTCAATCAATTGCACAGTGTTCTGGGAGGAGTCACATTTAACCTATGCACTGTGATCAGTGGGGTGGGGTGTTAAACTTTTAAATCCATTGCACAGTGATAACATAAAGAGCTTAATATCAAGATTGTAGCATTTCATCCAATGCAGTGATTAGGAAAGGGTTTAGCATCACAAAATTGCACAAAGGATGATTAAGGCAGCATCCAAGCCACTGCACAGTGATCAGTGTAAAACACAAACAAAAACAGCAAGTCAAATACTTTAGCCGAAAAAGAAGCCTGATTATCACAGGACAGTGCCCTATAGAGCTCTAGAGAGCATTGAGATATAACAGCAACAAAGAAAGAAGCTTTCCCTAAAGATGATGGGTTCGCTGTAGAGTGAAAATACCACCTTGTAAGAGCATGTGATGAGAATAATAACAAGTGATGAAAAGCATTTAGAAAATTTGCTCCAGCACTTAGATAGATAAAACAGCAAAAAGCTGCCCTGTAAATTATGTAATATCTCCAGGTGTGAAATAAACCATGTATGAGTATTTGATGAAGATGAAAACTGGTAATGATGCTGCATACAGAAAGACTGACCCCATCATAACTTGAGCTGAAGGGCAAAACATGGATAGGGATGTTAAACTTTACAAGATATGTTAAGTTTTAACTGACCTGCATAACTTTGGGTGTGAACTCCATATCCTTGATGCTGGAAGAGAAGTTCTCAATGATGTAGAAAGCTACAGCCCACATGGTGGCCACAAACTGTTGACTGATGATGCAAGCTCTGAAGAATTAATCAATATCATGGCAATTTCATACCCCAAAAAAAAAAAAAAAAAGCCACTATTATTATACCAATAATACATATTAAAAACAGCTTTGTGATCACAGCAGACCACCTTGCATTAGTTTCAATAGAGGTAATAAGAGCCAAACATTCAGGAAGCAACAGCAAACTAGTGACTACAAAATTGCCTAGTGAAGTCATGAACAGCCTAAAAATGTCAGGGTTGGTGCTGCAACATCCTGTAAAGAAAAAGGGGAGTGTGTAGTGATGATGATGCAGAAGGTATAGCATCTAAGTGTCAAACCACAATGGTCCCCCAGTATATGTTCTGGGGCCTCATTTGTGACCCAGGGATAAGACGTAACTGACCCACTGCTGCCTTAACAAGTATGTCGAGAAAAGTGACTAATTAAGGGTTTGTTTGCTAAAATCGGATGTGTGGGCCTAAAAGATGAAGCTATCACAGCCAAGCTATAAACCATACCACACACAGCAACTGCATTGTTGAGGTGAAAACAATAGAACAGAAGAAGAAACCAGCATGGCATATCAGGGATAAGGAATCAGGCAGGAAGTTACTTGCCCAAAACAACACACACTGGGTGAAGTCACAATGTCACCTTAGCAGTTTATTCATTACCCTTTCGTGTCATTATATGTCACACAGGGCTTGCAGTCTATTCATTTCCCTTTCATGTCATTATATGTCACACAGGGCTTGCAGTCTATTCATTTCCCTTTTGTGTCATTATATGTCACACAGGGCTTGCAGTCTATTCATTTCCCTTTCATGTCATTATATGTCACACAGGGCTTGCAGTCTATTCATTTCCCTTTTGTGTCATTATATGTCACACAGGGCTTGCAGTCTATTCATTTCCCTTTCATGTCATTATATGTCACACAGGGCTTGCAGTCTATTCATTTCCCTTTCATGTCATTATATGTCACACAGGGCTTGCAGTCTATTCATTTCCCTTTTGTGTCATTATATGTCACACAGGGCTTGCAGTCTATTCATTTCCCTTTCATGTCATTATATGTCACACAGGGCTTGCAGTCTATTCATTTCCCTTTTGTGTCATTATATGTCACACAGGGCTTGCAGTCTATTCATTTCCCTTTCATGTCATTATATGTCACACAGGGCTTGCAGTCTATTCATTTCCCTTTCATGTCATTATATGTCACACAGGGCTTGCAGTCTATTCATTTCCCTTTTGTGTCATTATATGTCACACAGGGCTTGCAGTCTATTCATATCCCTTTTGTGTCATTATATGTCACACAGGGCTTGCAGTCTATTCATTTCCCTTTTGTGTCATTATATGTCACACAGGGCTTGCAGTCTATTCATTTCTCTTTCGTGTCATTATATGTCACACAGGGCTTGCAGTCTATTCATTTCCCTTTCATGTCATTATATGTCACACAGGGCTTGCAGTCTATTCATTTCCCTTTCATGTCATTATATGTCACACAGGGCTTGCAGTCTATTCATTTCCCTTTTGTGTCATTATATGTCACACAGGGCTTGCAGTCTATTCATTTCCCTTTTGTGTCATTATATGTCACACAGGGCTTGCAGTCTATTCATTTCCCTTTTGTGTCATTATATGTCACACAGGGCTTGCAGTCTATTCATTTCCCTTTCGTGTCATTATATGTCACACAGGGCTTGCAGTCTATTCATTTCCCTTTCGTGTCATTATATGTCACACAGGGCTTGCAGTCTATTCATTTCCCTTTCGTGTCATTATATGTCACACAGGGCTTGCAGTCTATTCATTTCCCTTTCATGTCATTATATGTCACACAGGGCTTGCAGTCTATTCATTTCCCTTTCATGTCATTATATGTCACACAGGGCTTGCAGTCTATTCATTTCCCTTTCATGTCATTATATGTCACACAGGGCTTGCAGTCTATTCATTTCCCTTTTGTGTCATTATATGTCACACAGGGCTTGCAGTCTATTCATTTCCCTTTCATGTCATTATATGTCACACAGGGCTTGCAGTCTATTCATTTTCCCTTTTGTGTCATTATATGTCACACAGGGCTTGCAGTCTATTCATTTCCCTTTCATGTCATTATATGTCACACAGGGCTTGCAGTCTATTCATTTCCCTTTCATGTCATTATATGTCACACAGGGCTTGCAGTCTATTCATTTCCCTTTTGTGTCATTATATGTCACACAGGGCTTGCAGTCTATTCATATCCCTTTTGTGTCATTATATGTCACACAGGGCTTGCAGTCTATTCATTTCCCTTTTGTGTCATTATATGTCACACAGGGCTTGCAGTCTATTCATTTCTCTTTCGTGTCATTATATGTCACACAGGGCTTGCAGTCTATTCATTTCCCTTTCATGTCATTATATGTCACACAGGGCTTGCAGTCTATTCATTTCCCTTTCATGTCATTATATGTCACACAGGGCTTGCAGTCTATTCATTTCCCTTTTGTGTCATTATATGTCACACAGGGCTTGCAGTCTATTCATTTCCCTTTTGTGTCATTATATGTCACACAGGGCTTGCAGTCTATTCATTTCCCTTTTGTGTCATTATATGTCACACAGGGCTTGCAGTCTATTCATTTCCCTTTCGTGTCATTATATGTCACACAGGGCTTGCAGTCTATTCATTTCCCTTTCGTGTCATTATATGTCACACAGGGCTTGCAGTCTATTCATTTCCCTTTCGTGTCATTATATGTCACACAGGGCTTGCAGTCTATTCATTTCCCTTTCATGTCATTATATGTCACACAGGGCTTGCAGTCTATTCATTTCCCTTTCATGTCATTATATGTCACACAGGGCTTGCAGTCTATTCATTTCCCTTTCATGTCATTATATGTCACACAGGGCTTGCAGTCTATTCATTTCCCTTTCGTGTCATTATATGTCACACAGGGCTTGCAGTCTATTCATTTCCCTTTCGTGTCATTATATGTCACACAGGGCTTGCAGTCTATTCATTTCCCTTTTGTGTCATTATATGTCACACAGGGCTTGCAGTCTATTCATTTCCCTTTTGTGTCATTATATGTCACACAGGGCTTGCAGTCTATTCATTTCCCTTTCGTGTCATTATATGTCACACAGGGCTTGCAGTCTATTCATTTCCCTTTTGTGTCATTATATGTCACACAGGGCTTGCAGTCTATTCATCCATTCCATTATATCCTGTGCGATTAGGTCAATATCTTGGATGGAATCTAGTCCAGCAGCTTTGGCCTCTCTCATCAATGTTTGTTTAAGAGTTTTTTTTGTTTATTCTCTTCTCTTTAATCCCTCTTTTTCCTTTGCAATGCCTATATGGTGATTTTCTGCTGGTTTCTTCTCATGCATTTGTGTATGTATGTGTGTATGTTTGCATACACACACATGTGCACATGCATGGTGAAATTCCACAGACCGGACAATAACATAGCTACTATCATGAATACGTCAGTTAAGTGATTTTTGTGTATTCATGTCTGTACATGTGGTTTTGCTGATTTATGTTATGTGCTAATGAAGGGTCTGAAGCCCCAATGATTTTTTGTGTGTGTTTATTATATTGTGAAGTTTGCTGGTCAATTTTTCATTTGGTTTGATATCTTTTCATGACAAATGCATGCACATGAAACACATATGTAACTGTTACTTTGTTTTCTTTGGATTAAGAAAGAAAAACAAGGAAAAGTTCAAGGTTAGACAGCATTGAAAAGGGTTTTATCCTATATGACTCTCCTTCTCTCGGCAAAACAGTTAGTTACTGAAAGTGTCACACAAAGCACAAACTCTGTAGCTCAGGCGACGATCAACAGAGATCTTTGTAAATAAAAAGAAAATCAATAAGACAAAGAGTACCAGCTGATGGTCAACACAGGGATAGCACATGGTGATGAACCAAACAAATGATAACAATAAAGTGTTCTTACTGGGACACAATGGTCAGATGCTTGACCAGGAAGTCGGTGAGAATCGGCAGCAGGGTCATGTTGAGGTCTGTGACCCCACTCTCCAGCAGATACAACGATCCATGAAGAGCAGATATTTTAGTTGGTAAGTGAGTACTCTTTAGTCCTGCCTCTATTAATTTGACCACACGCTCACTGACCAATGCCTCCTGTAAGTAGATGGGACAATTTATGAACTCATAAATACACACACACACACAAAAAATGTCTAGTAGATTAGAAAGCTCTGCGACTGCTCCATTATATCTTCTTTATTATAGAGCATGACTTCCTTATCACCAACACAATTTTTCAACTACCTGCCTGAAACATGACTTCCTGGATGCACCCCCAATCAAAGCACTGGCACCTCACTATCTGAGTCTGTCTAAGAAAGCTACTGAACATCAAATGGCAAAACAGGTTGCCGGATACTGTCATATTGGACAAAGCTGGTATTGCCAGCATCGACACCATCCTGAAGCAGAACCAGATTTGACGGGCTGGTCCCATTAGCTACATCAGGTGTGGAAACACTAAAACATTCCATAATGAAAACCACACTTGATAATTAAAACTGTAAAATCGATGCACGACATGTTTATACTCTTTGTTCTGTTCATAGTGGCAAGCATGGCTTCAGAATTCCCCGGTTGTTGGTGTCCATTTTATATTTTTCTAGGGTATACAGGTGTGTTGGGAAATTAACAGAGAGACTGACTGGCTAGTGCTGCACCACTAAATGGTGACCTGATGCATGACAAGCTAGATGAGGTTAAAGCCCTTTGGGAACAAGTGAACAATGTGGAAGTACAAATAGATCATTAAGGTGTGGAGAGAATGTCATATTGGACAAAGCTGGTATTGCCAGCATCGACACCATCCTGAAGCAGAACCAGATTTGACGGGCTGGTCCCATTAGCTACATCAGGTGTGGAAACACTAAAACATTCCATAATGAAAACCACACTTTATAATTAAAACTGTAAAATCGATGCACGACATGTTTATACTCTTTGTTCTGTTCATAGTGGCAAGCATGGCTTCAGAATTCCCCGGTTGTTGGTGTCCATTTTATATTTTTCTAGGGTATACAGGTGTGTTGGGAAATTAACAGAGAGACTGACTGGCTAGTGCTGCACCACTAAATGGTGACCTGATGCATGACAAGCTAGATGAGGTTAAAGCCCTTTGGGAACAAGTGAACAATGTGGAAGTACAAATAGATCATTAAGGTGTGGAGAGAATGTGGCATCGAGGAGTGACCAGGAAATCTGGCAGACTCAGAGGAAAAGCAAGACGGACATCAAATCAAACTGCAACTGGTACTATCCGAATTTGAACTCTTTGCTGCGTGTTAAAGATGAGGACTTTGCATGTATGGGAATATCCTGAGTGCCGCAATGTCAGTTCTTGAGGACCTTAACTATCTCTAGCAATTATTTTTAACCTGCGAGGAAGTAGTCAGGTGGGGAGGATGTGTTCAGAAATATCAGTTACACAATTCTAACTCACCGTGCCAACAACAGCTGTTGCCTTGCACATGCCCACTACAAGATACTGGGTGATGAGCTCATCCTCCACAGGATGTCCCTTGAGGAGGTCTAGAAGGATGTCTTGCATGAACTCAAACTGCTCCCTCTCCATGAATAAGTCTGACAAGCACACTATCTGATGTGGAATTACAGAAACAAAACAAGATGGTTAAGAGTGTTTTATTGTCAACGTTTGTTTTTTTAAACTAAGCATGGAAAAAGATGAATTACTCTTTATTTATATGCACATACACATATCGCTTCCCGTATTTGTTAAGAGGTCCCATAGGGAAAGGGAAAGGGAGGCCCACTGCGTCCCTAACATATCATAAAAGGCGACAAATTAGGGATCTTTTTCTCTGAAGCCAGAGTGCATCTGCCTAAAAAGGAAGGAACCAACAGTCTGCATTCAAGTAAGCCAGATTTATAAAATGGATATGCATGCAAATTTCAAGTTCTAGAACAAGACCAAAGTCCAGAAATGGACAAACAATCAGAACAACTTTCTGCCAGAGTTTACATTTGGTGAACAAAAAAACAAAAAACAAAAAGAAAACTAGGCAGAAAGATCTAATAGATAAGCAGATGTGTTATAATTGACGTGTGCTTCCAAGATTTTTTTTTAAATAGATGCCCTCCGCGCCAAAATGCCAAACTGCCCTGTGTGAATTCTGCAGGCTCAGGTTCTGTTTTTTTTTTAAGGGGGGGGGGGGGGGGGGGGGGAGGAGGGGTGCCTTACCTTCTAACAAGTATGTTGTCGCAGAAGGTAAAGAATTGAGGGTTTGCTGAAATCAGATGCTAAAATGTCATATTTTTTCTCGTAAGCCGGAGTGCACTTGCCTGAGAGGTGAAAAACCAACAGTCTACATACAAGTAAGCTAGATCTAGAAAATTCTAAAATATATCCCCCCCCCCTCTTCCCCCATGATATTTTTTTTTTAAACATGATAATCATCATTATCATTACCATTAATGATGTCAGTACTTACTGATTTCACTACTGAGTTGAGAAGCATGAGAGGTGGCTTGGGGTTGTTATCAATATGCAGCCAGGCTCCATAGAGCTCTAGCAAAAACTGGAGGCAGGAATGAATGTCCAGTCCACAGTTGCTGACCGATCGAGTGGAGGCCAACTTCTGTCCTCTAGAGGTTGAGGAAGATGATGCAGCGATATCAGTTGCGTCTCCCTGACCTCGGGGACTATCAAGAGAATCAGTGGTGTCTGAATTTGAGAGGTTATTCTCCAAGCTACCAACCAATGACCACGTTGATTCAATAGATATCTAATTTATGTGGAACAAAATGTAAAAAAAAAAAAATATTAACCACACAACAAAATTAAGATTGTTTGTTACCAAATACCTTTTTCACAATCAGAAAATTACCTCCATGACCCCAAAAAAAAAAAAAAAAACTGGATGAAACCCTTTCCTCCTATCCCATAACCCCATCAATACATCATCTGGTTGTAATGAAGAACATCTGGGTGTAATAAAGAAGATGTTTGCAAAAACAAAAATCTTCTAATACTAATCTCCAGTTCAATATATGCTGCAGTCTCACATCTATTCAGGCAGCAATGCAGTCAAAGATGGAAGAACATGTGGAGATATCAACATAAAAATAGAGAAGACAAGAGGGGTTGTTTAGCATCAGAATAAACGTTGAAAGTAAAGAGAAGTTAAACCTAGTATGAAATTATGAACATTCAACTCTTACATCATTTCAATATGGACAAGCAACAGGGGGGATGGTTACATGGAGAATTGAAAACATTGCAACTATCACTAAAATACTACAAACATGCCATCAAATGGTGCCTATGTAGAACAGAAATAGTATGCCAAAACTGCTAATGCTAAGCTTAATAAGGGGAGAGATAGTCTATCAAACCAAAAATTAAGGAAAAAACAGTGATTGTGTGGGTAGAAGACACTGAAACAAAATATATATCAACAACAGTACCTCTTGACTGTCCAGAAGCCCCAAAGCAAAGAGATTTAGGGAGACCATAAAACTCTCACAGAAGTGACTTAGACCCAATGATTAATAATTATATAGGGAGGACAAGGACAGTGCTGCATGAGAAGAACTTGGTGTGAGATGGTTGATGACCTATGCTCCAAACATATATATATATATTTATAATTCTTATTTTTAATGATTACCTATAAATTCTTTAGTTGTTGGTTTATTTGGTTATTCCGGGTGAGGTCCCATTATTGCAATGCATTTCTTCCTTAGCTCAGTACATGCAGCCTGCTAGAGCTCATTGGCAGCTAATTCAACAAAGCAAGCTTGAACAGGAATAAACATCAAGAACACTAAACTTCTTCTTCTTTTTCAGCATTCCGAGCACTTGAGGTTCATTGCTACAGATATCACCCGCCTCCATTCATCTCTCTGGTTGGTCTTCTCTTTCCAGTTAGTGATACCAAGTGTTTGCAGGTCTGTCTGGACATTATCTCTCCATCGTCTTCTTGGTCTGTCTCGTGGTCTACGACCATTCATCTCCCTTGTGTATACAGTTTTCTCTTCTCTGTCATTTGACATTCTCTCAATATGCCCATCTCGTCACGAAACAAAGAACACTAAACTGCTAATAAGAAATGTTTATTTGCTCCAACGTTGCTCTCCGGGGTCAAGGAGCCTACTCAAGAATGTTCTAATGATTATCATTACCTGGACAGAGTTCTCACTTTTAGCACTTCTCACTATTGCACTTCAGAACTACCAAAACTGCACTCAGCAAAATGCACATCTCATTGCAGATGAATTTTCTCCATCTCGATCTGTCATGGAGTCATAGCCAGGTTTTTCTCAGGGAACAGGCCGGCAGCTTGTGAGATTAATTCAATCTATGAATACATTCGACTAAGGCATTCCAAGCGCCACATGACCAGTCTCTCACAGGATTGAAGATTGAGCTTTCCTCAATTGCTCAGTGTTTAAATAATCTATTCTACGCCTCGAGCATCCTGAAGTTTCACTCATAGTTTCATGCTTCCTTTGTGTGGTACAACTTGTCCTAACTGCACATTCTGGTATCGCCCACTCAATTCATTTTACGCATTCATTTAGTGATTGTAGTCCTCATTTTCAAACAAACAGCAAATTTTCCAACAATGAGACCATGACTCCTTACAAAACTGCCATTCCATTTTTGTGTGTGGTCTTCCCTTGGCTCTGTGTCCATTATGCTTAGGAGGAGATCGGAGCACTTATGGTAATATCCAATGTGCGATAAAGACATTTTTAAATGAACAATGTGTCCACTATATTTTTTTCAGCGTGGCTCTCTCTGTGGCAGTTGGTCCCGGGCATTCTCATCAGATGGCCAAACCATCTCATTTGTTGCTCTTTAATGAACTGATTTTAGTCCCAGTCTTTTTTTTCATTTACAAACTTTAGTCCGAAGAGACACAAACACAATATAAAATAATGTCTTTCTATTGCAAATTTAACTAATGCAGACACAATTTACTTCCTGTCATACTGCACTGTATCTCATCAGGTGTGTTACAAGTTACTTCAACATATAATGAAGCACAACAATGTACATCTCTCCACTGAAAACTCAAGAATGGCCACATGAAAAGTGTGACCATTTAAAATTTACCACATGCTTTTGTTTGTTCACACAAAACTGGAGAGTTCTTTTTTTTTTTAAATCTACAAACATAATATACACACCTGTCCCAGACTGAAGTCCTCTAATCCTAGTTCTCTCTCCAGGTTACATTCATACAAACTCAGGCTTGTTCTATCTGATGGGCTTCCACTGTAAGACTGAGGGACCATTCTGTCTGGCCTAAGAGTACATATTTCAGCAAATATACTCTATTAAATAGAAATGAAGATAAATCTTTATTAACGATTGTCTAACTAAGAAGAGGTGACAATCATTTCATAGAACATCAAACAATCAAATGATTTGGTCGTCTGACCAGACTGTTCAAAATCAGCCAGCAGCTAGAGTACATATGAGAACAGTAGGCTACTAGTTAAGAGGTCAACAAAGAAAGAGATGGGTGGAGGGAGTAAAAAAGACAATACACAAATGCAATATAACATTAACACAAGCTAGGCAAATTGTTACATACACAAAAACACACACACAAAACTACATCTGACTCTTTCTGTGACGCTTTAAGGTATAAGCAGTAAGACAAAAGAAGATTACCTTTTGAAAGAAAGATTTTTACATTGAGAAAATAATTATTAAACAGGCAGTCCATTAGCAATTATTCAAAACAGCACGTTCCTATTTTTAAATTAAATAATAAAAACGCAAATCAAAGGTTGTACAATTTATTGCTTGGTAAATTTCTCTATATCAGGTGCATCCCACCCACAATGTACTATGTGTGTTCTGCATTTTTGTTACAACTAAGGATAATCCATGCAAAAACATGCCTGTAGAAGTCAGATGTGTCAGCCGAAAGGCGCAAATATTGTAGTTGTAAACAGGAACATTTACATCTTAAGGGGTCACTACACGGCATTTTTCCCAATTTATGACAAAAATATCCCCTTTTCAATGTGTTCGTTTTTGTAAAGTTCGGCATTCGTACAATAGATGACACAAAAAATTTATGTCATTTGTAAACAATTTAGCATTGAAAAGTTAATACTAATGACACCACTTCGTGCACTTTTTTAAGATAAAAAAAGTTTAAAAGTCAGTTTTCTCAAATCTTTATATTTCAGTTTGCTGTGTGTGTGTGAAATCCTAAAATCTAAGCTAATATGAAGAGTAGAATCATCAAATTTTGTATGCATACTCCATAAACAATATTATAGGGACTGGTCTATCTAAACGTAGATTTTAGAAAGTTTTTGTTTCTAAAATTTGATTATTGTCTTATGATGCTAGATTTTTTTGACTTTTTCAATAAACCTACATTTTAAAATTCTACGAAAAATATTTAAGAACATGTTTAAAGTAAATAAACTAGACCAGTACCTCAAAATAGGACGAAAGGTCATGGATCTATTATCTATTATTGAATACGTATGTTAGCTTTTAAAATTTAAGGATTCTAAGTACATATTGTTTTTTTCACAAGATGGCGGCTATTGCCATGACAACTATAATTTTTTAACACTTAAAGTATACAAATGTAATAAAATGTATCCCTACAAATGGCCATTATAAAATAACTGCTCTAAGTCTGTAAATAAAAAAAATAAAAATTTTTGGTGTAGTGACCCCTTAAGATGAACCCAGACAAAGAAGAAGAAGAAGAAGAATTTGTGTTGAAAATATTTGCTGATGTGCTTCATTTCATGCTTATCTGATTCTGCAGTAAGTAACTGATTAGAAACTTGGAGAAACTGATATGTGATGCCAGCATGACCCCACTGCAGGAAATGCATTTTAAAATGGCAATGACCAATGTACAGTGACGTGGATTGTGATCTTCTTCTTCTGCCCAACTGCTTGTGCCATAAAGCGTTGCAGATAGAAGTTAGATTTAGTTTCCTGTCTTATGCTAGTTGTGTTAAAAGTTAGTTGCATATCGTTTACAGGATGCTACAGAGCCATCCTCAACATTTTTTTTAGTTGTTGTGGTTTTTCTAGGCAAATGTTATGTTCATTAGTTTGTACTGTTCTCTGAATGGTCAGCTCTTGGTAACACATCAAAACTAATGCAAAGCAAATGCTAGTTGTGTAGCTTGTGTTATTGCCATTTTGCATTTCTGTAGTGTTCCTTTTACTCCCTCCATCCATCTCTTTATTAGTCGGCCTCTTAACTTTTAGCCTGCTATTAACATATAGTACACTACAGCTGCTGGCTGATTTTGTTCCATTGTGACCAGATGACCAAACTTTTAAATTCTTTGACATTCTGTGAAATCATTTACCAGTACTGTACCTACCATTTTTCTAAATTCTTCATTGGTGACTGTCTCTTACCGTTTTTTTCCCTCGCCGCATTTTTTAAATACATCTCATCTCACATGCTGCAATCTTGCATTTATATTTTATATGAGACTGTCCATATCTAGCACTGATAACACAAAGAGCTCACTTATAACATTATTTGATTGTGGTAATATACCTGTAACATAATTCACTCTACTACAAAATAAGCACATTTGTAAAAGGTCCTCTTTCTACATCTAGGAGATTGTTTTTTGATGACATGCTGGCACTCCATGGGTGATGTGGTCAATATAACAGGCTACCTTTGTCTCCCAGAACATTTCCCTACAAATATTTTTAGGCTGGACTGGCCTTAAGAACTAGATCACTTTAAAAAATCAATCTTATTAGGTCGATTACCTTCATAATGGCGTGTATTTTAGAGGGTACAATGACAGTTTTGGTAACTGACTGTCTGTACCCACAGTGATCTGCAATTCTGATGTGGGACTATTACTGTTGGTACCTCTGACAGATGCCTCATGCATTTTTAGTTTTGCGTGTGCAAACTTCAAGCTTGTGCTAGGACTGACAAGTTTTTCACAAGTTTTCAAAAGGGACAGTGCGGGACATTCTGTGTGATTTCCACTAGCACAGAAGTGGAGCAGTTTGGGGTGACCCATCTTCAGCTAAGTTGGAACCTTGATTAACCACAACATAGCTACACATGCACATAAAGGAGTAAATGTACATCTTACCTGGCAGCACATAAATTTATAATTTCTTGCTCAATCAGACCTCGGATAACTGATAGCTTCTTGCCACATCTGTTAACAGAAAGGGCTGTTATAATTAGGATTCAACATGGAGCAGTTTAAAGTCAATGCACATAACCTCCACTTCAACTAAAATCCTTAAACAGAATGAGAGGCTACATGTGAACGAACATTGTGTTGAAATTAAAACATAAAAATCAGTGAAATGGAGTTACAAATCAGTAAATGGAAAGATGAACTCCTGCGACAAAACGCGAATGCAGAGACTCAATTAAGGATAGAGATTTTTAAAGAGGCTGTACTGTAAAGCTAAGTGATTTTATTTACTCTTTATGTATTATCTGTAATTGTATCATTGTCTGTTTGAGTCATGTGCTGAGAAAGGCTTTCTGGCCACAACTTTCATTTTGTCATTCATGATTGTGGTATTGTGAAAATGACAAATTATACCTTTAATTTTATTTCTTCTTTTTCTTCGTCGCGTTCACCAGCTGTAAACTCCGGCTAAAGGTTCTGGTTGTTCATCCACTTCTGGACTCTAGTCCTGTTCTAGATACTGAGCGTTGCGTGCACATTCCAAGATCTGACTCATTTGAATGCAGACTGTTGGTTCCTTGACTCTCAGCAGCTTACTCCAACTTCAAAGAATTAGTTGACTCTTATGACATGCTTTTGGGTAGGCAGTGAGTTTATTCTTGTTTTCCCCACAATGGAGCCCCAGACCCCACACAGGAATAATTTTATTTCAATTATAACAGTGAATGTTGGAGAACCACTAAAGACATTGAACAAAAGTTGAATGCTTTCGTAAACCAATTTGATGAATTCAACAAAGCTGAAGACATAAGAGAAATGTCTGGACAACTACTGGTATCAACAAGACAAAGAAGGTGGTGATAGACTGAGCACATCCTGAGATGAAGCAAGCAGAGAATCATTAAACAGGCACTGCAACAGAAATACACGGACTGAGAAAATGTGGATGTCTAACATAAACCCTAAAACAGATGCTAATGAGATAGGTCAAAAGTGTTGGACTGGATTCCCATCCTGACATCAAAAGAACTGCACAGGACAGAATAGAACAGAGGAATGACCTGTGAGCCCTATGTGACATATAATGGCCATAACAAGAAGCTGAAAATGATGATAGAAAATGCAAAGAATTTTTCTATAATATGCAGATTCAAATACTGACAGTTTCAACACCCCCATCCCCCTCAAAGCAAGCCTTCCCCCTCCCTACATGCACACAGAGAGAGAGAGAGAGAGAGAGAGAGAGAGAGAGAGAGAGAGAGAGAGAGAGAGAGAGAGAGAGAGAGAGAGAGAGAGAGAGAGAGAGAGAGAGAGAGAGGGATAGGGAGGGAGGGAGAGAGAGGGAGAGAACGGGAGGGAGAGGGTGAAGAGAAAGAGAGAGAGACAGAGAGAGAGGGGAAGAGAAAGAGAGAGACAGAGAGAGAGAGACAGGGGGAAGAGAAAGAGAAAGAGAGAGAGAGAGAGAAAGAGAGAGAGAGAGAGAGAGAGGCAGTCACAGCAACCAAATATTATTTATATGAAGGTACGGCATCACCTGGTATGAAGGAAAGCCAATGGTTTGTCCCTCGGCCTGGTCTCATAAGAACCATTAGCTGGATTGCCAGCGCAGGGTACAAGTGATGCTTGCAGAAGAAGGGATGTGATGGCTTTTACTGCTATGACCATTCCCTGAGCCTGTTCTATTTCCTCCTGTATATAACCAAACAAAATATAATTTATTTTTCAAAGCAACGTTAACCATTAATCAATGCTGAATGTTGAATGTTGAATTAGGAATTGACATCATAGCACTCGGGACACCCCATAAGTGCTCTGTCCCCATTTTCAGCAGTAAGCGAAGAGTTAAAATTCCGATGGTACCAGCAACTGTCTGATTATATATCCATCTCGCCTTTCTCTTGAGTGTCAAACGTCGGCCAGATCCCCTTGTAACTCCTCGCTGTAACCATTTATCAACAGTTACAAAACTAGGAAGATGTGCTATTTCGGATACATTCTGAGAAAAGATAAACAGAGAATCACCAAACAGGCGCCCAAGTGCGAAACAATTGGGCTGAGAAAATGAGGATTTCCAAGAGAAACCCTAAGGTGAATGTTAATGGGGGAGGCCAAAGGTGCTGACTGGATTCCATCCATAACATCAAAGCGATGACACCAGATAGAACGGAATGAAGAAATAGACTGCGAGCCCTATGTGACATATAATGGCACAACAGAACAATGAATGTTAGTCATGTAAACAAAATGACATGATGGTTGGTCTTCTTATGCTGTCTTTCATACGAATTTCGCTTTTTAAAAATTACTCAGTGCTTCAAGAAGTTTAGTTTTCGGTGCTGTTTTACTAGATTTAGGTAGTACTTATCTCGTTAAGAGAAACAGATGTTCCACCCTCCCAAAAAAAATTAATTAATTTAGTGATGACAAGATGATAAAATCCATCATTTCATAGTCTCCATCTTCAATAAGAAGAACCTATCTGCTTTGACTGCCAACACAGTTTCATCTAAAATCCTAGGGGATTGAACTGGTCACAGTTTTTATCTAAAACCCTACAGTTACGGCGCCTGGAATTCCCCAGAGATATTTATTCTCCTGTCCTTTGTGTCTCGTCACTCTACTGATGACCTGGTTGCTTCAAAATACTAAGTGATCCTGTATATTTGTGTGATATTGTTTTATTAATGTATGCGCTGATGAAGGCTCCATAGCCGTAACGCTCAAGTTTTGTTTGTGTCTGTTATACTGTGAAGCTTGCTGATATACTTTTGGTTCAGTTTTATATCTTTTCTTTCTAGAGGTAAAGACTGTCTTGCAGATTAGTGAATGAGGTTGCACTGAATCACACAAACCTGCTCAAAAATAAAAGTTAACATTAGAAATGAAAAGGAAGTACTGGTCATCTAGATGTTCACATCTCTTTCTGTCTAAAAAAGTACCATCCAAACAGTACCTGATAATCACATTGCAAACTGCCATTTTTTTTACAGCCAATTTGAACATAAATCTCTACTTTTTTTGTCATTTCTCCATGTAATGTTACTATTTCAACTCTTTGAACGACAGAATGTGTCAATGTTTTGCTTATTTTCTTGTGGACATAAAATCCACAGTTAACACCTTTGAAAGAACCAAACAGCACTGAAAATAACAAGTTTGTTTTTCACCATTTATAATGTAAAACATACTGTGAAGACTCGATGCAATACTCCGTGACAGTATCAAAATGATTATTTACTAGGTTGTCCTTTGGCTATCACTTTAGTGTTGAAAAATATTTAATGTTAGCCAAACAAATCTTGCTTTTCACCAAACAAGAATCAATGCATTATGAGGGTGACTGGCCAGCTGTTTTCCTCACTAGCTTTCCCAAAGAGAGAAATCTCTGGTGTCCATTTTACAAGACTAGGTTAAAAATTATTTTGTTTTTCTTCTTAGCAGTCACCAGCTGTAAACTCTGGCAGAAAGTTCTCGTTGTTTGCCCACTTCTGGACTTTTGTCCAATTCCAAAACGTTTTGCATGCACATCCGTTTACAAATCTGGCTTTTCTGTATGCAGACTGTTGGATCCCAAGATTTTAGGTAGATAAACTCTGACTTCAATGGAAACACCACTATTTAGTTACCTGTTACAACATGCTTACTGTGGGAGATAGGGTCTATTCTTTTTGTCCCCACCTAAAATGGAGCCTCGGAACCCACATGAAGAGATACCACGTTTCAAGAGTTGGAAAGTCAAACACAGAAGATGAAACAACCGATGGGGACTGTCACCTCTGGGGAGAGTTCATGGTCTGTGTGTGACACAGGGTTGAGAACTCCTAGCAAACTCATCCAGCTTTCCTCAAACTGTTGTCTGTTTATCCAGCCTGGAGAGGAAGAGGGACAACAACTGTTAACAAATCACCTAGCATACAAGCAGAGAAAGTAGTTTTAAATGAGCCAGAGCCACACTAAACCAAAAATTTTATTTAAAAATATTAATTAATTAATTAATTATTATTTTTTTAAACTTTGTTTCTCTGTCTCTTAGGGATTAGAAAGGATTATCATCACAACACTCTAGGCAGATCCATAGTTGCTCCTATCTCCTCCTCAAAAGCTACACAAGTGTAAAATGACTGATGACGCAAGTTCTGTGTTGGTTAATAAAACGTCTTGTGCCCTTAGTGAAATGTTCATTTCTTGCAGTGCCAGGCTGCACCCCTATGTCAATCAGTCTAGACAGAGACACAGAGTCATGTCCTTTGGTGTGCTCCTATGTACAGTAAGTGCAGCGCATGGCATTGATAACATCACTTCTGTCCAGTACTGGACCAGCATAGCAACCTCAGTGTCCACAAGATAGTCTGCATTTAACACCCGCATGACCTGGCACAAAGATGAAGGTTAGGGCAGCTATTCGTCATGTGCTTTGTGTTGCAATCCATTCTTGCCTGATTGGATGTTTATAAGCATATTCATCAGGTCACTAAGAATGCATACATGTGTAAACTTTTGAGTTCCAAGCCATGCTAATGCCCTTCTCTGTCTCTTGTCTGCAACATACCCGGTTCAACCCTATAATTTCTTCTGTTGTCCTGCTGCTTATGCTGTAAAGCATTACAGAAAGAAGTTTCATGTAATTTACTAAAAGCCTAGCACTAAGAATATAAATTATTGACGTTTCTGTATTCTGATCCAGCTTACTGTATACATGGTATTGTACACTTGCACATGTTACTGTCAATATGTACATGTTAATGTACACTTGCGGATGTGATTGTGCACTTGTACATATTACTGTACACTCGCACATGTTTATTGTATACTTGAACATGTTACTGTACACTAGTATATGTTATATATGTTAATGTAAAACTTTACATGTTAGTGTATACCTGTACAGGCTACTGAATATTTTTACACATTATTTTGTACTTGTGCATGTTATTGAATAACTGCACGGTACTGTATACCTGTATGTGTCATTCTAAAGTGCCATATACTATACTGCATAAATTCAACTTTTCAAGCTTTTCCACACAGTAAGTATATAAACAACTTACTATTCAGTTTTCATATATATATATATATTTACAGACACACACTCACACACTACACTTTTTTTTTTTTAAATGCTTTAATATTACCACATACTATTTACGTTATAGACGGGTTCTAGAAATATCATGGGTAAAGAAAAGAACAAATACACTCATACTTTGAGAGCTAATTTTGAAGAAGGTTGGCCTTCCCTTTTATACCCCTCCATTATTGTTCTCTCTAAACTTTCATGATGTTTTAAGTGACCAAAATATTTCAATGTTCTGTGTTTTACGATGACTTGAAACATCATGAAAGTTTAGAGAGAACAATAATGGAGGGGTATATGCCTGGGAAGAGAGTAAGAGGAAGGCCAAAGAGAACATGCGTGCAGGATGTGGCGGATGATCTCCAGATGAGTGTATCGGACGCGGGACATCTTGCTTGTGATCGAGAAGTTTTCTGGAGAGTTGTTATGGGAGCAAGGTTCTGCAAGGGACATCCTACTGACTAACTATTCATGAACAAAATTATACATGCTTGTTTTTTTTCATCTACATTTTGTTCATTTGATTTAATTAAATTCAGTGTAGCCCTAAGAACCCAATTCAACTGTCAATGTTATACTGTACCTAGTGAATTAATTCTGAACACAAATTCTTTCAGAACATCTTTCTCTTGCAAGTACTCCACAGGTAAAGGAGGCAGGCAGGTATGCAGCTCTCCAGAAGGGGTGGGGGACCAGCCTAGCCTCCAGACAAGCGGAGGAGTACGAGCATAGGTGTTCAAAGCTGGAAGTCTGGCAAGCACTGAAATGAATAAATAAATAAATGATAGCCACTAATACAAATGACACAAATTTATACATTAATGATATAAGCTCTGTCAATGCCACATGCAGTGTTGCACTAATTGCCAACTGGTCTGTTCATTAATTCCCTTTACTCCGGCGTCCCTAGGTGCGCAGATCTAGATGAGAGGGGTTTAAAGTATTACTTTGGTAAGCTCTCTACACACTCAGAGTAGAGACTATCTGCTGCAATTCTTGCAAGTACAAGTGCATGTATGGAACAACAGGGCAACAAAAGGAAATGTAAAAAAATCACAAAGGGTTATTTCATTAATAAGTATTCAGGCACAATATAACCAAAAATAAGGGAAGTCAATTAGGTGCATCTCTGATATGTTTTATTTTTAATGTACAAAAAGTCTATATTTATCCAAACACACAAATGCATTTATACAAGTATAACAATATACATTTATTGACTCCTTTAGTCCCAAGGAAGGCATCATATGTTCACAGGTTACTACCTAGAAGCCCAATGAACGCAAGATGCGCCGACTTCACGTCTCTCTTGACTACCCCTTGGGCCTGTGATGCTGTAACTCCTGGAACTCAATATTATAGATTCATAGCTTTATAATTCAGTACACCTCGTGTATCTCAACAGACAAACAAAATATGCCTATGTGGCTGATGATCTTAACTAGGGCTCACATTTCGGGTAGGTTGAATATTAAAAGCATTCTGAAAATTCAAGCCAGGGCTTATTTCCGGGTTAGGTCTTATTTTCAAGGAAATACAAAAACATTTTGTGAAGTAAAAGCAGCCGATATGATGTTTACCATATCTTCTGAGTTCTTATTAGTTGATATCCATATGGGTTCAGGGGCTTCATTTTAAGGTATGGGGGAAATTAGACGCATTGATCCCCGTGCCTGAGGTGTGAAAAAGGTTCTTTTACTTTCTTTACAATATAACCAAACAAGACAAAAAACATACAAGTCAGTCACTTACAGATGATGATGTTCCTGAGAGTGGTTGTCAAAAACACTGGCAGCCGTGGCTCACTGGCAACACTGAGGTCTAGCCTCGTATGAAGGCAATGCACCAGCTCGGAAATCTCATCACAAGCGCGGATGAGACATGCAGACAGTGAAACTGAAAAGCCAAATAAATGAGCACATTAGGTGAAGACAGAAAATAACTAACACAGCCTTGACGTCTCATCATCATAAACAATTTTAAGACTATGTTAAATATCATGTTGTTCTAATTTTAGGATTCTTATGTAGGTTCCACAATCCCATATTTTAATGGGGTGGGGGGGGGGGGGGGGGGGGGTGTTTGAGCAGGGTTAAGGTGAATTACTCAACAAACATGTCACTAAAGGTGACAAATTAATTCTTCTGCTTCTTCTCTTCCACCTTGTACCTCATCGAAGTGTCGAGGGGAGATGTAATGTTCATTGATGAGCTCTGTCAAGAGCACTATTAAGACTGATGTCCATTTCTGTAAGGCTTAATGCCATCATTGCATATTTTCTGAGGTCTTCCGCTCACTCTTTACCTGTTGTAACGTTTTAGTGTGGCTCACTGTGGTAGATAGTACCAGGGCATTCTTGTTAGGTGTCCAAACCACTTCATTTGTTGTTCTTTGATGACCTGTAAGACTGGCTTTATTCCTAGCATTCGTCTGATTTCATTATTTCAAAAGACTAATCAATGACTGCTAAAAATTATGTGTGTGGGGTTGAAAGGTGCAGACAACAAAGCCTTAAGTGGCTACCAGGATATGTCCTAGGAAGTTAAGGTGGCCAGTGTGATGCTGATCCATTACCTCACAAGTGCTGATTGTCTATTAACATACGAGTTTGGCACCATATGCCCGATGCACCAGTGGCATGCAAAAGGGTCCTGTACCTATGGAGGACACCAGAGTTACATATGACAGACAATCCTGGTCATCATAGAGTCGTTGACACAGTTATGGTTGGTGGTAAGGTTATGGTAAAAATTAGGTTCTCAGCCATTACTGAACAGTTTGCCATACTGTCCCCTGTCATATTTTGAGCTGCATGCCAATTTAAATCTTGAAAATTCTGCAATTCTTTTGTTTGCAACTTTTCCTTCAATTATGATTTTCACTTAACTGTTATGTTCTTTGATGTGATCACACTTCCTTGATTTGCATTATTCATTTATTTCAACAGCACTGTTTTTGTTGAGACAGAGCCTCTGCTTATTGGTATCATCAGTGAGGTGAACAATACTGTATCTAATATTATCCAGTTGGACAAAGTATAAGCAAACCTGTAACAATCTGAATATTTGGCCAACAATGTTTATGTCTTTAAAACTGTTTAGTAATTGTTCATTTCCCTCTGTCAAATGCTTTAATGCTGTTCATAAAGAATGCATGTGCTTTAGCTCTCAACTATTGTATCTACAACATCAAGCTGGAGGATGGAGGTGGAGGCAATCACTGCAGCTCTGAAGTGGATAGTAGAAAATAAAGCAGCCAGGGAAATTACAGTGACTCTCAGTCAGTACTGCGGAAGGTTCAAAATGGATAAATGTAGCATGAGTGGATACCAAGCATCAGCTCGTCAACATTACAGGGATTCACAAAAATATACTGTCCAGGATATGCAGGAGTACCAATAAATGAAAGAGCAGATTTTCTGGCTACAAAGCGATAGCTACAGAAACACTCGTTCTGGACAAAAGCGACATTCTGCAGACCGTTTATGAACGAATGCTGATTTGAAGACATGATGAGCTTAGATGAAAAAAACATGTGTGAGAATGTGTGAAGGAGGAATCAGGTGTGGATACAGCAAGGAGAGACATATGAGAGGAAGAAAATTAGCGAGTTTCTTATCAGTGAGCTAGAGTACAGTTAGCATTTACACCTTAAGACATTTGCTGCAGGAGAAGGAGCATCTATGGGTATGCCGGGTGTGCTAAGATGGCTAAAGGCAAATTACGACAACAAAATGGTGTAAGAAAAGCTCCCATCCCCCCCACCTTTCCTTTTCCCCACGTGATGCTATTATAGTCAATACAATCATATCCTGTCCTCTTTAGCGTTACGCAGGCCCAAACACAACCAATGCCAGTAACTAGGCTTGTCAGGGACTGGCCAGTGCAGCAACATCAGTTTAGTGGCTTTACAAGGTATTTGCTGTATTATCAGTGTCTCAGGCCGAATGGGTTAAACACTGCTTAATTTAGCTTTCTTCTCACCATCATCATCATCATAATCATCTCTGCGATCATCTTGGAAAAGATTGGCAACTTCTTCACTGGGAAGGACAGCCACTGAAATAAAATAATAAAAAAGAAATTGCACATAAAATAATATTATCAATTTTTAAACTGTACAGTAAACATTGTTGCAAAGATTAGAATAGTTAACAAGGTGTTGTGAAATTATATTTTGAAATGGCTATTAATTGACAGAAGTGGTGTCGCTGAACTCACGACATAGAAATTGATACCGCCAAGCATATCTCTCTTCACACATTAAAGTGTTACACATTTGATTCCCGGCAGGGTAACTATGGCTTTCAATTTTTATGTTGCCTAGTGAGTCCTTCTGTCTTTCTACCTCTTTCTATGAATGCCGGTCCATACCTTTTCTTTATTAATTATATATCTATAATATTTATAGGGATTATTTATGTCTATGACATGTAATACAATATAACCTACCAATCAAATTTTGTTCTTCAATGTTTGTGTATTCTAGACAAAGCAATATGGTCTGCTGTGTTTGCAAATTGTTGCTGTGTTTGTTATTCGACCTATGCTTCGTTAATAAAAATTGTATGATTTTCCAGCTTATTCCCTACCCTTAAGAACTGACATCACTGTACAGAGTACATTTCCATAAGCGATCATGCCTCCAGCAGCCAAAAAAAACTTCCAATGCTGATGATACCAGTAACAGTTTAATTATAGGTCCATCTTGCTTTTCCTTCCTGTGTAGATTGTCAGCTAAATCCGCCAGTCAATCAGCACTGAGCCCTTCTCTCCAGGCCCCAATTTATTTGTGTTTCCCCACTGTTCACTTGTTCCCAAAATAACTTAACACATCTAGCTTGTCACATATCAATTCACCACCCTGTGGCACAGAACCAGTCAATCTGTCTGTCTGTTCATTTCCCAACAAACCCCCAGACCGCAGAAAAAAAAAGATCCAAAGGAGGTTAACTTGTGGAGATCTCGGAAGTGATGCTTGCCACTTGGCACAGAGCCTACATGATGCCATCTTCCTCATAAATCTTTGTTACAATCACAACATATGTATTCAGCTGACTCTCAAGCCAGTGGAAGGTTGCAGCGACTTCTCCTGCTTTTCTAAATGTTCATTATCAGTAACATCATTACATAATTTTAGTGTATTAAGAATGAAAGAATGAATGAATAAACAAACTTTATTTTTAAAGGTTAAGAATTAAGCATGCGGGAGTCGCCGTGGCTAGACGCTCGCTGTGGAACGGAAGGTCATGGGTTCACTCCCTGGCGGAGCCGGACTTTTTTCCAAAATGACCTTGGCTCCCAGGTTGACCCAGCCTCGAGTGGGTACCAGGTGCAGTCCTGGAAAGTGAAGGCGGCTGGCGTGATGCTGACCCCATCACCCATCTTTTGCCGATTGGTCTATAAAATATAGGTCTAGTCCTACATGCCCTATACGCCTATAGGTGTGGAAAAGGGTCCTGTACTTTTATTTACTTACACCTAACAAATTCAAATACTATACACCATATAATGAGCAGACTATTAAGAACTGTTAACTAGCAAGAGAGAAATACATAGCTAACACTCACTTGAGGACAGTATCTGATAGACAGAGTCCACTAAACTGCAGACCCAGGTGGCATGCTCCGGTCGTCCAATCAGCAAATGGATGTTCTGCTCCTGCAGCAGCAATGACAGACACGCCAGGCAGTTTTGGATCTGCTCAGAATCAGGCAGGATATCATGGCTCACTGACCAGTTGATCAGCTGCAAGAAGAGAACCGTTAAACACACAAATAATTATATAAATTTGTCTCCGTGGCGAAGTGGTCAAGCCGTTTGCTTTGCGCTCTGAAGGTCAGGGGTTCATTTCACGGCTGCTCTTGTCAGCTCATGCGTGCAAATTTACACTGCTCCCTGGGGATTGTTCCTAGAGCTACGGAGTTCGTGCTCTGTGTGATGCTCTTAGCAGGCAGCTAGCTGTTCTGCGGAGAGAGACTGGGCCATATGGGATAAAAACCTGGATGCAATGAAGTTAATCCTCTTGACTTTAACTTTTTTTTAACCTTTTGTTTTTAAAATTTGTTTTCCTGTTCACCAATGTGGTTTTCGGTGGCCCTATTTTGGTGGGAAATAGAACAGACCCTCTGCCCCTTAACAAGCATGTCATAAACAGTGACTAATTAGGAGTATGCTGGAAGTGTATTGCTTGTACCGAAAGGTGCAGATTTCCCAGCCTAGCTGTGAGCCATAACACAAAATAGATGGCAACTGCCCTTTTATAGGCAAATGCAGAAGAAGTCTTCCTGTTGTAAATGTAAAAAAGTAAAGGACCCTTTTCCATGCACACAGATGTACTGGGCATACAGGGCTAAACCTATATTTTATAGACCAAAAGGGACTCGGTGGGTGATGTGGTCAGCGTCATGCTAGGTGCCTTTACTTGCCACGACTTTATCTGGTACCTTTTTAAGGCTGGGTTGATTTGGGAGTCAAAGTCATTTTTTTTAAACAGTCCAGATCCATTAGGGCCTGAACCCCTGATTTCCTGCTGTATCTTATAATTACCAATTGTGTACCTTTACCAGGGGTCATAAACATGGGGAAAAACTATTATTTGCTCCCCCCCCCCCCCCCCCCCCCCCCCCGGGGTTAAAATGAGCAAAATAATAGTGTTGAAAGAAGCAGATTTTCGTATCAGTATTTCCACCTGGGATATGTTCTTGTTGTTTGTTGTTTGCGTTCACAGACTGTAAACCCCGGCAGAAAGACTGGTTGTTCGTCCATTTCTGGACTTGGCTTTGTTCCAGGACCTGAGTTTTGAGTGTGCATCCATTTTACAAATCTTGCTTATTTGTATGCAGACTATTGGTCCTTTGCCTCTTATCCAAATGCACTCCGTCTCTAAAGGAAACCCCAAATTAGTTGAATCCTATGACATGCTTGTTGGGGAGGCAATGGATCTATTCTTGTTTTCTCCAGAACCCATACGGGGATATGAGAAATGTGTTAAGATAAGCTCTCTGGTGTGTATTCTAAATATTCTAGTTTCAATTTACCTCTGCTTTGTGTCTCTTAGCATTAGGAGATATTAAAACTATGCTGCACGAGACCTGGTATGTTTCTCAAACATTGCAAAGCTAATTTTTTATCCTATTTTGCCATTAAAATGAGAATGTCAAAGAAAAACAGTATTACAATTGCTGCTGAGAGAAGATAAAGGCGTTCGACTGGATTCCATCCAGGACATACAAATTATTGCATTGGACAGAATGGAACTGAAGACTAGAGTTGAATGTTGAATTCTGAATTAAGAATCAAGATTACAGCACTCGGGACACTCCCAAAAATGCTCTGTCCCCATCTTCAGCAGCTAGCAAAGAGTTCCAATTCCTGTGGTACCAGAAACTATTTGATTATACATCCAACTTGCCTTTCCCTTGAGTGTTGAACATCGGCCAGATCCCCTGGTAACTCTCCACAGTGCCATTCTCTTAAGACCATAATGATCTATTTGTCTCTCCTCATTGTTTACTCGCTTCCAAAGGGCCTCAAAACATCTTGCTTGTCATGCATCAGTTCACCACCAAGCGGTTCAGAACCGGCCAGACTATCTGCCTGCTCATTTCCCAACATACCGGCAGCACCCTGAGAAAATATCCAAAGGACGCTAACTACCCGAGACCTCTGAAGTGATGCTTGCCACTATGCAGAGAGCATGCCTGTCTCCATCTTTCTCAACATACTCTGTGAGTCAGTTACAATTACGACTAGAGTATGGGCGCTATATGAAATAAAATGGCATGAAAGTATGAGGATGATTTGTCATTAATCTCATCTTTCGCAGGGTGATGGTCTCTCACTTTTCTTCCTGCCTTTTTAAGTATTTCTCATCATCCATCATGCCAACTGACATGAGTAATAATTGTTCTCCATATCTTATGTGACAGTTTATGTGCTGACATCTTTCACTGTCATGACAAAGTCTACCGAGAATCTAAACATTATTCAGCAAGCTAAATTATCCTTTTCTCTGGCAACTCAAAACAATGTATACCTCAGCACAAAGAACAGCAAAGCTGGCAACATCTTTATGTGACTCGGCTGGCAGTTCAACATTCCATGGAAAGTGACTCAAAGCGACCAGGTAGTGCACCAAAGCAGCAGCCAGAACAAAGTTAGTGTCAACCCATTGAGTATCTGTGAACAGTTCCTCGATACGATCCATGTAATGTAAACTTGAAGCCGGAGCAGAATCTGCAACAAACATTCTCATTATCAACAAAACACCAAGTTTATCTACTTCCAAACTGCTGCAGAGATTTGGCTAATAAGATTTAATCCCATCCCCTCCCCAGCCATGAGAGAGCCATTTTTCCTATTTTTTCAGGTTTTGGTTGACATGATATCTTTGGGCAGTGCCCAATATGGTTGTAAGATAGTCTGTGGCGACAGCACAAGCCATGTGGCCCAAAATTCTCCAGCTCAAAGACCCCTTTGCCTAGACCACAAAAGTTTTAAAAAATCAGGCACCAATAGCAGTTAAAGAATAAATTAATTTTGTTACATTACTCTTCGAGTGACAGCACCAATTAATGTTAAGTCAGCAGCAGTGTAGAATAGATAGAATTACCGGCATGCTCCGTGCAGAGTGGCAAGCATCATTTCAGAGGTCCCAGGTAGTAAGCGACCTTTTGATATTCTCTCTAGGTCATGCCAGTGTGTTGGGAAATGAGCAGGCAGATAGACTGGCCAGTTCTGCACCACCTAGTAGTGAGCTGATGTATGACAAGCTAGATATGACGGCCTTTTGGGAGCGAGTGAACAGCGCAGAGGCACAAACAGATCATTACGAGAAGGACACTGCGAGGAAGGTGGGCAATCAAAAATGAAAAAGGTATAAAGGAAAAAATGACTGCAGATAATTTAAGAGCTGAGCATCTGAGAAGAATCACGTTAAATACATGCAATGGCAACAACATTTGATTGTAGAATCATTTTCTTATAACGAACGGGTCTTGCCAGTCACACTTACCATCACCATAATCTGTGATTTTCATGCTTCCCTATAGCACAATATAACATCATCACCAGAAAAGGTACTAACAGCAACATAATTATAATGGCTTGCATTGGATTGATTCATTTCCAGTGAAACACAAGTTATCCACACTTTTTACTAGATAAACTTTATTGCACATTACTTTTATTTATTTCTAACATTTATGTAATAGGTTAATAACAACTTACTTGGTTTAACCTTCGAAGGTTCATGCACATAAACATAATGATAGCTTGATTAACAGGTTTGAGAATTTCCAGTGAAACAATTTATCCACACTTCTTGCTTCATTGTAAATTATTTTGAATTGTTTCTAACATTTATGTAATATGTTAAAAACAGCTTACTTTGGTTAACATGAGGTTCATGCACAAATACATAATGATAGCTTGATTAACAGGCTTAAGACAAGAAAATTATCTCTAAATGTGTACTGTTTATTCAAAAGGGAACAAACCTGTGAAAACCAGAGACTGGTGTGGCAAAGGGAGCTGGTTAATAACATTGTTGATGTGTCGGAATAGAGTTAACTGTGATGCTTCAAACAGAGGGTCCAGTCTGGGTTCATGTGGGCCAGCTTCTGAAATTGCAGAACCAAGTTCAGCATCCCTGTTGTAACGCAGCACTGAACGGAAAGCCCCGAGTGACATACACTCCTCCAAAATGGATAAATTGAACTCCTGCACACACACACAAGTAAGTTCAACATAATTATTTAACACAAAAGTAACAATCACCATTTAACTGTGTCATGAAAAAAGGTAAAGATAAAATAAGTTCTCCTCCATCTGGGTTCCAGAGGTCCATTTTGGATAAGAAAGATTAGACCTCCTGCAACCTGCCAAACAAGCATGTTGTAAAAGGCAACTAATTATGGATGTTTCCTTCAAAGTTGGAGTGATTCTGCCTGAGAGGCAGAGAACAAACAGTCTGCACAAAAATAAGTTGGATGTGCATGTGAAACTCAAGTTCTGGATCGAGACTAAGGTACAGGAGTGGGTGAACAAACCAGAACTTTCTGCCTGAATTTACAGCCAGTGAATGCTAAGTGGAAAAAAGTACCATGATATTTATTGCCTTTAATCCTTTCACCTCCCTAAAGCTAAAAATAAATGGGTCATTACTCCATTGAAATTCCATTTAAAAATCCTAGAATAAACAACAATTTTACATAAGTCACTAAAACATTTTTTTTAAAAATTTATTTATCTATATTTTTTGACATTTTGTTCTAAATTTATAAAGAAACTTGAAGGTGGTAGTAATAAATAATAAATAGTGTGAAACATTAAAGGTAAAGTCGGGAGATGTGAACCAACTTCATTGCACATGGTTATAAACCATAAGTGCTCTGCCACCAGTTAGCACAGAGTGGGAGTCCATCAATCGACACAGCCAGCATTCGCAGTCCGACAGCCCAGTCGCACACAGCTCTTGCTCGCTCGCTCGCTCTACCGCCCTATAAAGCCACGTGTGTCTCTCGTTAGCTTGCTAACTACCCATTCGTAGCCTGTTTATCGATAGCTAGATACTGGTCAGACTCGCTTGATATTCGGCTGAGTTTGGCTCGACTACGCTATTGGTTTTCGTCTGCGTTTGGGTTATTAGCGGCCCGGGAGCACAGCATTGTTGAAAAGCCAGTCATACCAGCCAGTTTTTTTAACGATTGTCTAGAGAACTAAGGAGAAAGCACGCTTGGGTGTCCTTTTCGGGATACTCTAACAAGCCTTGCCGACTCCGAAGGGACCTAGCTTTCGCTACAGATCGCAATTAACCAGCAGCCTTAGAAGTAACGCCTCTGCCAGCCACAGCCACACGAAACCATGGCCCGTGGCAAAAAGATTCCGACCCAGCGCCGGGATACCAGGTCGACATCAGCCAAGAAGGAAAGTGAACCTGTCGCCGCACCAGCCCCAACGGTGCCGACGGTGCCAGAACCGGTCGACGACCCAGAAGAGACGCCAGCCTCACTCACCCAGACGCCGCCAGCCCTGGATGTAGGCCCTATCGAGGCACCGGCATTCTTTGAAGTCGCCCCAGTCGTGGCGCAGGGAGCCACCTTCACCCGCCCACTCAGACAGCAGCAGCAGCGACCAGGAACTTACAACGCCGAGATCCTGCAGTGCTCACGATGTAACAAGGCGTGGCACTCTGCCTCGTCATGTCGAAACAGCCCGTCGTGCCGTTACTGTTCCGGCCCTCATCCATTCAAGGAATGCCCTCTGGCGAAAGTTGATCCGGACTTTAAGAAGCCCAACGCAAGCAGAAGATGTTCTAATTGCTCCGGAGCACACAGCGCTAGGTACATGGGGTGCCCATACTTGAAAGAGATCAAGAGAGCGATGGCGAATACCTCCACTAGGACCACGCACAACCAAGAGCCGATACGAAGACCACAGGCACCCAGGCCGACAGTTGCTAACAATAACGAAATCACACAGCTGAGAGAAGAAATACAGTCCCTGCGAAAAGAGAACGCAAGAATCAATTCACTCAGGTCTCAAGATAGGGACGAGATGACTGACCTGAGAAGCATCCTACAGGCATCACTTGAGACCCAGAGGAGGCTAGAGAAGGAAACTGCAGAAATGGCGACATTTAAAATCGACTTGATGGCAAATCTAACTGACCTCAAGAAGATGAAAGAAGCAAATGCAGCAGCCGCAAAAGAACTGGAAGACAGCCACAAAAGCCTACTGGTCTCTACCATCAAAAAAGACCTGACAGACAACAAAGAAAAGCTAAAGAAATCCAGCGAAGAATGCGCCAAACTGAGCGCCGCACTGCAAGCCACCAACGAAGCAGTGAGCGACATAAAAAAACTAATTGAATCCAAGCAAGAGGAGGAAGAACAAGAAACGGAACCAGTCTCTGAACCGGACTACTTTCAAGGGGATGCTGAAGTGGAAGAATACGCAAACCGAACCTTTGAAATGCCAGCCTTCGTCCACCACGACAAAATAACCCAGGCATTCATCGATGAATTGGTGAAATGTATGAATGATCTGATAGCACCAAGCAGAGGAGAGTGGGCCGGCTCCGCTAGATGGAAGCTCATTCATTATGATCCGGAGAATGACTTCAACGCAGCAGACGTGACATACCCGCACCTCTACGAAAGACACAAAGACTACGAAAGCAGACTACTCAAAGAAATGCTTAGAGCCCACCAAATCATCAACACGAGAGCCACTCCCAGTCATGTAGTGAACCAGCCCAACTACAAACAGGGGAACCAGCGAAAACAATGACACGATCTCGCAACCAAGAAACCATAGCAGTCAAGACGCCACCTAAACAAGACCCAAAACCAAACCGAAACAAGCAACCAATCAGAACCAGCCAAGCCGCCATGACAGCCCACCAGACCAGCCCACCGGCACGAAGAACCCAAGCTAAGCCAGGCATGATGTCTCTCACCCAAAGCACCCCCTCCCACCCGTTCGAAGCCACCCCGGCAAACTTTACTAGTCCTTCTCAGGACTAGTAAACTTCCACTCCCAATCACGGCCAAACGTCGCAGCAACACGCAAGGAAACTACTTCTAGATGCAGTTCGTCACAATTGAAAAAAACTATTGGATATTCCAAACAAAATAAACGCAGTCCCAAAATAACCGCCACTCACTATTGGAGCTGGTTAGGGTGACAGGAAGTTGGTTTTTTTTTTCAAACAAACCGCAACCGCAACCGTTAGCACAGATGATAAGAAACTGTCCGCCTGTGTCGCGTCCACGCAACACTACAGCTACAGCGATGTTCCTCCATTTATACCAGAGTTTTAACTCTGGTACCCATTACCTAGAGGCTGAGTGGAACAATGGGAACTGCCCGGTCTCTAACATCAGCAATGGGAGGCAATGAGTCGCAGATGGATTTGAAAGCGAGTCTCCTATTGAATGCGCTAATGCGGCCCTGTGAAACATTAAATAAAATGCACTCACCACAGCCTGAAAAAATATATGTCTTGGTGATTCATGCTGTGACCCCTGACCTCTACTATTGAGGCTACAGATAAATCTGTCAAGCTGGCTTTAAAAAAGTTTTTCGCTCAAAGGAAAATCCCCTTAAATACTATTTTTAGTTATGACGTCCAGAATGATTTTGCAGGCGCAACCAAAGCCAATAGCATTAACTATGCACAGCATAAACCTTACATTGGTATCATGTAAGGTCTTGGAAAATAAAGGTGGCATGATGCTGACCATATCATTCATTGGCCTATAAAAATGTTTGTCAAGCAAAATATGCCCAATGTGCCAAAGGTGTGAATTCTCTAGGAGAAGTAAGATGTTTGCAAGATTCAAGTGACTGTTAAGCTTCAGCCATAACCAGACTGCAAGAACAGCAAGTTAAAAAAGGTGTGGCCAGAAAAAAGCAGTATTCAGGAAGCTTAGGGAGAATAAGAAACATTATAGAACTGGTCTCCTCAGCCCCTAAACCAGGTCTATTCAACCGGCGGCCCGCAGGCTTAATGTGGCCCGAAGAGGCCTGGCAAATGGCCCGCAGATTACCTGCCAACAGTATTGTATTAATGTTCTTTTTATGCTGGGGCTTGGTCTTCGGGCCCGCGACGATCTCCATTTCCCAAAGTCTGGCCCCTCAGCAAACTTAGTTAAACAGCCCTGCCCTAAACGCTGTAAAGGAGTCGTTCATTTAGCATGACCTATACAATTTAAAAATAAAAGGGGGTGGGGCTATTTTGTTATGTATAGCAACCTACTGCTGAAACGAAAGATAGAAGGTAAATTTGCAATAAGGAAGTTATTTTAGAGGCTGGATATCATTACAAGTGAAGTAAAGGACCCTTTTCCACACCATTCCGGCGTACTGGGTATATAGGGCTAGACCTATATTTTACAGACCAAATGGCACTTGATAGGTAATGTGGTCAGAATCATGCCAGCCGCCTCTACTTCTCAGGACTGTACCTGTTACCCACTCAAGGCTGGGTCGACCTGGGAGCCAAGGTCATTTTTGAAAAAAGTCTGGCCTCCATCAGGAACGGAACTTACGACTTTCCGATCTGCAGACGAGCATCTAGCTGCTAGACCACGGCGGCTTCCTCATTAGAGATGAACAACAACAAAAACATAATGATGTCAGCTAGCATCATCATCATCTTCTTCTTCAGCATTCCGAGCCCTCGAGGTTCACTGCTGCAGATATCACCCGCCTCCACTCATCTCTCTGGTTGGCCTTCTCTTTCCAGTTGGTGACACCAAGTGTTTGCAGGTCTGTCTGGACATTATCTTTCCATAATCTTCTTGGTCTGCCTCGTGGTCTACAACTATTCATCTACCTCGTGTATACAGTTTTTACTTCTCTATTATCTGACATTCTTTCAATATTCCCCAACCATTTCAGTCTATTTTCTCTCAAATCACCAGTGATCAGTGGTGATTTAAACAAATTATGAATTTCGTGGTCATCATAGTTTTTAAAAAAACATATACTGCACATAAACTTAAATCTAAAGGTTGAAACATGCTTTGATTTACATACATAAACATAAATTTACACCATGAATGCAGTCATATTGAATCCACTTTGTAGAATTCTTTTCTCTTAAAAATAAATCTTGGCTCCCAGGGTAACCCAGTCTAAAATGTGTACCAGGTAATGTCCTGGGAAGTAAAGGCAGGTGGTGATGTTGACCACTCCACCCAATGACTGCTGACTTGTCTTTTTATTTCATGTGAACGAAAGAAGAAGTAGAAGGAAGAAATACGTCTAGCATCGTATAACATAAATAGTGTCCTTTACACGCAGCGTCCGTGACTTAGGCGTTGCGAGTTCGACTCATAATTCCAACGTACTGTAATCGAAACCATACTAATTTTCTCTTCTGATTTGTTAAGAGTGACCATGTCTGGCACTGGTAGCATTCAGTGCGTATGATTATGCTTCATATTAGATGTTTTTGTGTGTGCTGATCGGGATTGTCTTGAGCTGTAACTTAAAAACAAAAAAAGGAGGATGGGGGGGGGGGGCAACTGTACCAATACTTTGTCTGCTTTAATGCATCCGATGTTAATTTTCTCATCTAAAATACCATCTTTCGCGAACGTTGTTCCCAGATAATTATTTAGGTTCTGCTTTTTACTTCCTATTGATATTACTTCTGTCTTTTCAGTGCTGATGCTCATATTATTTGTTTTGCATGTTATCCCAATGTGTCACTGGTATAAACGGGCGTATCTTAATTTTACTCTAGCCGCAAACACTTTTTTGAAGAAAAAAATGCAATTTAGGAGAAAAGAGTTTTCATCTTTTGCTATATTCAAAGGAGAAAGTAATACAGTGCACAAGAACATTGTTACCTTGGTCATGGTGATGGATAAAATATCTGGATATTCCAACCTCTGCAGCAGAAAGGCACACTCTCTGGTGCTGGGGCTAGCCTGAAAGCACTGTTCCTTCACAACTGACAAATAAAACTCCTGTGGATAATAAGAACCAGGTTACGTGACAATAAATATGTACCATAGTACAAGGTGATGTTTTCCTGAGTTGTGTTAAATTTAGTTAACTCTTTCAGCCCAGAAGATCGTAGCCGATGCCTGGTTGTGACATTAATGACAACGAAATAATGGGTATTCTACATAATCAGGGACTTAATATACAGCAAATTGTACGAGACAAATGAGTTACCTGACTGATTACTGAATCAACATCAAAGCACACCGGGCATACCTATAGATGCTCCGTTTCCTGCAGTAAATGGCGTAAGGTGTAGATGCTAACTGTTCCTGTAGCTCACTGATTATACACACACCAATCTCTTCCTCTTATCCGTCCCTCCTTGCCGGATCCACACTTAATTCCTCGTTCAAACATTCTTGCCCATGTTATTTCATCTAATCGCCAACAGTCGTTTATTTATGGACTTCAGAACATCCCCTTTGTCCAATACAAGTGTTCCCGTAGCTTTTGCTTTTGTAGCCAGAAAAACTGCTCTTTCGTTCCCACTCACTCCTGCATATCCCGGACAGTATAACGTCATTCCCTGCAATGTTGGGGTACTGATGCATGGTACCCACTCATGCCACATACATAAGAAATTTTCAGACTGACTTACATCACAGCACTCAGGACATTCTCAGAATTAAGTGCTCCGTCCTTATTTTCAGCAGTTAATGGAGACGTCAAATTCTGACGGCATCAGCTAGTTTGATTATATGTCAGTCCTGTCGTTTCTCTATTTTCTTGTTTTGAATTCAATGAGAATGCAAAAACTGCATGTTGCTGTGCCTCAGCAAAGTGCATACTTCAGAAATTAAATCAAAAATTGATCTCTGTTTTATTTTAAGTGTTACCATGGTAGTCTTAGACTGACGAGCATATCATTCTGTTTTCATAATATGGGATAACCCATACATATTGTTACTGCCTTTGCAAATTTTAAATGTATCTCTTGTGCGCACTATATATTTTAAAGCTCTACCTTTCAAACTGTGTTGTATATACTAAATGTCTAAGCTTTAGCTGCACGACAAAAAAAGTGATGATTTAACATTTGCACTGGAATGATCTAAAACTTTGTTATTAATTAAGAAGAGCTTGGAGGCAATTGAGATGTGGTTCTTGAGAATAATGTTGTGAATACCTTGGACTGCGAGAATAACTAACAATGATTGCCCGGAAATGGCCAAGGAAAGTAGAACATTAAATACAACAATGAGAAAGAGACAAACAAAGTTCTTTGGTCATGTGATGACAAAACGAGCATTGAAAAATATCATGACAACTGGAAAGATCACTGTTAAAAGAGGCAGAGGCAGACCAAGACAAATGATGGTGGATGGCTTTAAAACAGCGGCATGGAGGAAAACCCATGAGCAGAATTGCTCCAAAATACCAAAGACCAAGATCTGTGGAAATGTATGAGCCTCTACGACAGCTGGCAAGACACCTGATGATGTTGGTGAATACTGTTATGCATATGGAAGTCTCAATGACCCCAGTCTGTACAAACCTTGTCAATAGTGATACTGGAAATATCTAGTGGCAATAGAGACAATGGGTGTGATCTATCAGGAGACAGCTGAATCTGTGCCGTAGAGCCAGCTGCTGCACACAGTTTACCCAGCAGTGAGGCTAAACGTTGATGTCTGCAAAAAAATATATTAGTGTGGCCAGTTTAAAGAACTTCATAACTTACAATATGTAACAAAAATTACCATCTGAGACATTTTGCTGTATCTTGTCAGGTGCATTACTATAAAGCAGTGATTCCCAAACTGCGCCGCGGAGCCCCGGGGATCAGAAACCTCTTCACAGTGGCGCCGCGAAATATTTGAAGATACACAAGTTTAATTCTTTTTTATCTCTTACATACGAATAGTCATACTTTTACTTATGTTAGGGCGCGGATAAAAAATTTGTTATTGAAAAAAGGCGCCGCCACTAAGAAAAGTTTGGGAAACATTGCTAAAAAGTTTACATAAACATACAATGAAGTACAAAACAATAATACTTTCAACTGAAATAGACAAATTGCATAATTCTTGTTACCCTGTAAATGTCACCAATGGAAGCCTAAGATTAACCACATGATCACCATGTGAATTATATTTCCAATCTAATGTTTGTGACCTTATTTAAATTCATAATGGAAAACACATTTATAAAGCAAATGCATTAATTTTCAAACAGGTAACAGCGGCACAGAAAAAAATAAGACATTGGTGTCCTTTGCTGCTGTTTTTGTTGTTGTTGTTGCAATTTTGACTATGCAACACTTGACAATGATAGGAAGGTGCAGTCAAGCTAAAAGAGGAGGTCCACATGGCAATATGGTCAAGCTGCTTGCCTTGTGCTAAGAAGGGTGTGGGTTTTTCTAGACTGCAGTTGCTGCTTCCCTTTTAAGAGATTCCTCTGGATCATCACTAGAGCTGCAGCGTTTGTGCTTTGTGCAATGCTTTTGGCGACAGGCAGCAAAAAAGTTAACAACTGTGAAATCCTGAAAATCTCATTAACAGTGACAGTCATCATTGAATCATTTTACTGCTTTATGTGCTGAAAAGTCCCAAAATGTTACCGTTTGGCAAACAAATTTACCAGAATTTATTATCAAAACACTAAACTCAGAACTGACCATGTGTGTTCTATTTTCCTTAGAAGAAATGGGATACTTATTTTTTTTTTTTTAATAGTGAGCTGGTTATGTGTACCAACGTGCTCTAATTTTAAAGCACCCAGCTATCCCAATAGAGACAAAAAGATAAATTATAAATACAATTTTTAATTATGGACAGACCAGAGCAAGTCATTATCCTTCGCCTTAGAACAGGGCACAATCGACTTCGCTCCCACATGTACAACAAATTTAAGATTGGCCAATCAGCCATGTGTACTTGTGGACTGGCACCTGAAACAACAGATCACATCCTTCAAGACTGTCCCAGATTCAACGCTTTCAGGCAAAACCTTTGGCCAAAAGAGACACTTGTGGAAGTCAAACTTTACGGGCCGCTTAGTGAATTACAAAAGACAGTGAAATTCATACTAGAGACAGCTTTGCAGATATAGACAATTTATTTCATGCGAACGAAAGAAGAAGAAGAAATACAATTTTTATACCAACTTTAGGTTACCAATGTCAGACTTGGACATTGACAAAAGAACATGAAAGAAAACTATCCACCTGTGAGATGAGATGTTCGAGAATGGCTGTGAATAAAAACCAGAAGAGATCGAGTGAAAAATGACGTGATCACAAGAATTGTTGAAACAACATCCATCGTCAAATTTTTTAGAAACAAACAATGAAATGTTTTGGTCATCTAATGAGAATGAAACCAATGATGCCAGCATCAAGAGTGTACAACCAGAAAATCGAAACATCAAGAGGCAGGGGAAGACTAAGAAGAAGATGGACTGAAGGAGTCACTGACATCTTGAGACTGCATATCAAGCGACTGAGTGCGCCCTGGAGCGGCAGCCGATCATCTGATGAACTGCTACGCCTAACAGCATAATCAGATATTGACAAAAGAAGAAAGAAGAACAAGTTGGTTATGCGAACATCAACACCATCCTGTGTCCTCCTAAAACAGATGATAATTTTCAGATAGCAGCATTTCTCCCTCACTCAAGAGTACCAATAGGGATACCTTGGAGGCTATCCAAATTAGCCCTTCTATTTCAATGTATATCACTAAGGCCACATACTGGGAGGGCCACTTCAACCTTTGTAGGTGTGATAACAAGAAAATAATAATCTGAAATTATCTTGCAAAGCAATCAAAAGTAATATTTTTCTTATTTTTCTTAGTGTTCACCGGTGGTAAACTCCTGCAGAAAGTTCTGGTTGTTCATCTATTTCTGGGCTTTGCCTTGTTCCAGAACTTTAGTTTTGCATGCATATCCATTTTACAGATGTGGCTTTCAGTATGCAGAATATTGGTTCCTCGCCTCTCAGACAAATGCACTATGACTTCAAAGAAAACATCCCTAATTAGTTGGCTTTTACAATATGCTTGTAAAGAGGGCAGTGGATCTATTCCCCCCCCCCCCCCCCCCCCCCCCCCCCCTTTTAATTGCCCAAAATAGGGCCCTGGAACCCTCACAGGGGAAGTAATATTCTAAAGATAAACCAATTAAAATAATTGTAATCTCCTAAATATGCAAAAATGTTCCACTATAATGCTAACCATCAATTGCAAAACGTCTATTTTGTTAGTCAAATCTTTGAAATTAGCTAAACCATAAATTAATAAGAAAATTAAATTTTAAAAAATAAACATACTGCTGTATCAACCCATTAGACTTCATAAAATGCAGTAGCTTCTCTATGTCCTCCTTTGGCAGTTGCTTGGATATTTCCTGAACAAACAAACAAACAAAAACTATTCACATGGTGGTAATCTTGACCACTTATTCTTCACAGACAGGTAAATCTGATGCAATAACTTGTTTAACAAAACTTCTAAAGCTTTTATTAACAACCATACAACATAAAAGTCTTATAGTCAGCCCCATATGTCACTAGCAGTCATATCATTCCACAGCCTCCTGTCTCATGTACTTTCAAATCATTTCTGATACAGGTGACCCTTCATGCCATGATACCAAGCTGTCTGGCATCTAATCTCCTCCAACCTCTCTTAGCCTCAAACTTTCCATCACAGTGTCTTCTTGTTTTCTTTGCTCACAATGTAACCAAAGAACGTAGGCCGTCTCCTTCTGATTCAGTTAACTGATTTTCTTTGTGAGTTAATTTCTTTCAAGACATCATTGCTCTTTTTTAATCTATCCATAGTGTCCTCATTATTCATCAATAAAACCACTTTTCTGCAGCTTCCACATAATTTTTTCATTAATCAACTGACTACCCTCAATTCGCTTCCATCAAACAGGATTGGTGAGTAGTTACAATGTTAGGCTCTCATGCGGCAGACCCAGGTTTGAACTCAGTAAAATTATGGAGTTTTGCTGTTTTTGGCAAAATTAAACATCCTAATCTGCACAGTGGACGGAGCGCTTATGGGGGTGTCCCGAGTGCTATGATGTCGATTCTTAATTCAACATATCTGCACAGTGGTAGGGAAGAGCCCTAAATCCTCAGGCTCATGACCCCCCCTCCACTCCCACCACCTTTTTTTTCCACTTAGTCGAAACAGCCATTAAAAGTGGTCAATACAGACAGTAATGACAGTGAGAAAAGGATTGATTCTATACAGTTATTAAGAACTCTTGTTGTCTTTCCAACGCAGAAAATTCTGAAAATGATTTAGTAACAATGCCATGTAGCTGAGTCAACCCTAAGACTGAGAAAAGGAACTCTGTGTCTGCTGATGACTGACCTCTGCCACTGTATTGTTCAGTTTCGTATATGTTATCAATACTGCACCCCAAACACGTCCACATATGCTTTAATCTCCTCTTTAAGAATCTATTAGCATCATCTTCTTCTTCATCTCCTCTTGTACCGCTCAGGTTTTGAGGGAGATATAAGGACCTGCTTCTTGCTCTTCTCATCACCTCAATGTTTTCTACCTGCGATGTTTTCTTTGTATATTATTTTTGGTCTACCTTGTGCTATATGTCCTTCTCTTTCTCTCTCTATCGTGTGTGTGCGCGTGTGCACGTGCGTATGTGCGTGCGCTCGTGCATCTTGTATTATCTGTTAGAATACATGAAATTAATTGTATTTTTTTTTTTTTTAGAAATCACTGATCTACAATCCAAATGTTGTCATTTTAGCTATAGACGCTGCATAATTCTGTCAATGTCCTCGCTTCAGTGAGCTCCCACTATACAATTAGTTAATCCCTGCTTCCATAAAAGGTGTTGTGTACAATTGTGTCCGTATGATGATTGCAGTAAATCATCTTCAGTCCTTCGATTCTTTCGAAACATCTGTATTACTCATTTTGGCTGTCCAGGCAATTTTATGCATTCTTCTGTAAAACGTCTCTACAAAACAAACAAAAATTGTCGGACTTGTTTATTAACCATCCAGGTTTCGCAGCATATGTGAATTTCACTCTATATTATCATCATCATGTAGTATGTCCGTTACAGAACATTGCTCTCATCACAGCTATGTATATAGCCTAACAAGATTAGAGTATTGCATTTTTTACATTTGTATACTTAGAATGAATATATTAGGAATATATTTCTCCCCATAGAAAGATTATAAGAATACTATGGACCAAGATGAAAATCCTATCCTGAAAGATCTGATCATCAAGGAAGATTGGCTAGTAAACAGAATCATGACATGGGAACGAAAATATAATGGCCATATCAAGCGTTATGGTGGACTGGAAATAATACTAGCAGGTGGCATGGTGATAGGAAAGAGGCAGGGGTCAACCAGCATGAAGGTGGGCACAGGATATAAGTGACACTTTGGGTAGGAAAGTGCTCAGTGAGAGAGAGCAGGTAAGAGTTTCATTCAGGCGGGCTGTTATGACTGGTTTTGCTAGGCAATTTTACATTCAGTAGTTTGCCATTTCTTCCCGAAATGGTCAGCTCTCAATACCATAGTCCAAATCAGAGCAAGGCAGTCTGCTACCTAATCCAATTGATAATGGAGACAACACATTAGGTGCAATTAACATTCTAAACAGATGCTGTAAAACTAAAAAAAAAATTTAATCACTAGCTAAAGAAACTATCAGCAACAACACAAAAACACCTCACCTCTGCAGTTTCACCAAGTAAACTTTCCAAACGCTGACACACTATAGAATCTGTCATCCTGGTTATTGCCAAGCGATGGCAGCCCAAGAACTTGTCTATCAACAATGCTACCAGTGAACCACTTTGTGAAGCGTGGATAGCATCCAAACATTTCAATGTCCGCTTCACCATGGATGGCTGTATAAATTAAAATCACATTTAAGAAGTTAGAACTCCTCAAGTTAAAAAAGGAAAAGGTAAAAAAAAAGGTAAAGTCGGGAGATGTGAACCAACGTCATTGCACACGATTATAAACCTAAGTGCCCTGCCACCAGTACGGACAGCCGATAAGAATTGTCTGCCTGTGTCGCCGTTCGCACGTAACTCTGCGGCTACAGCGAAGTTCCTCCACAGTAACACTCTGGTACCCATTTCCTAGAGGCTGGGTGAACCCCGGGAGTCACCCGGTTTCGAACACCGACCGTGGGCTGCAGCGAGTCGCAGCTGGATTTGAAAGCGAGCTTTTTATTGACTGCGCTAACACGGCTCCCGAAAAAAGGAAAAGTGAAGGTATTTTCATGCACTCAAGCAAAGTGAGCAGATGGCCTCAACTAGTGATGTTTTCTAGTACAAGCTGGCAATGTTTAGTTCTCAGGACATTTCCTGGTTATCATTTTAGGCTGGGTAAAATGAGAGACAAGGTAAATTATAAACATTCATCTTGATGCAAGTTTGACACTATAAAGAATCCAGCCATTGCACTACTGCAACTACCCTACGGGCATAAACAGACCTTCCTGTTCAGCCTATTGTTAAAGTAAATCCATATCCTTCACAGCACAGGTACCCACCCCATAGGCTGTGACCCCAAAAGGAGTCATGAAGGGTGTTCTGTGGTGTCGCCGGCAGTGCTGAGCTAAGTTAAAAAGTTAGTTGTGTATCCTTTACAGGACGTTGCAGAACCGACCCCAGCTTTTATTGGCTGTTGTGGTTTTTCTAGGCAAACTTTACATTCAGTAGTTTACCACTTTTTTCTGAATGGTCAGCCTTTGGCACCACTGTCAAAACCAGCGCAAGTCAAATCTGACTTCTCCGGGCATTTGTTTACCAGTTAGCCCTTACCGGGTACCAAGAACATTACATGTTCATTCACTATTCAATCTTCTTCTTCTGTTGTCCTATTGCTTATGCCGTAAAGCATCACAGAAAGGAGTTATAAATAGTTTCCTATCTTTTACTAGTCATGTAGCTTGTGCTAATGTCATATTTCATTTCTGTTCACTTCTTAATAAATTGTATACATTTCTATATTTCGTTTCTCTCATCCTTCTGTGTCGGCTCTGTGGCTAAGTCGATGCGAACGTTACGTAATGCCGGGGTGACAGGTTCGATCCCAGCTGCAGGCCATACGCCGTGCGTTGGTTTCGACAGTGGTATCAGGGAGCTGACCGTCCAGAAAGCAATGGCAAACTAGTGGACGTAAATTTGCCTAGTGAAACCACACAACAGCCAGGGGCTGATGGGGTTGGTTCTGCAACGTCCTGTAAAGAATACGCAACTAACCTAACTATCCTTCTGTTATAGCAAGCGACTGTACCCCAGTAGTTATTTTAACACATTCTAACTCCCGGTTGTATATTTTTTTAACAGTACAAGAAACACAATTTAAAACTAGCAACTAAATGGGAATGAGAGAATTAAATCTGTTCACTAAAGGCAAAAAGCTATTTACACCAGTCACTTACAGATTCAGATACAGAAATAACTTACTTTAGTAATGCTGTCCCCTCGTGCATGGATGGCCTGAATGAACAAGCTACTGGCAGCTGGGTTTCTATGTATGGCACTGTACAAAATAAAAAGGTAACAGAAATAGTATCAACCTTTTTCATTATTATAATGAATATCACAATTTCTTATACTACTACTTAGTTCTCTCTCCCGCCCGGCTTGCTAGCTCAGTTGGTTAAAACTCTTTGCACAGCGATTGGGTGACGAACTCCTTGTGGTCCCGGTTCACGCCCGAGGTAGGCAGAAAAGCCATATTTCTCCCAGATTTACGGTATCTATCATGGAATCAAGACTGAAAGGTTGCGATATCCATAGTACCGAGCCAAAGGGTTTTCAACTCATGGTTTCTGGACACTTAAAAAAAAAGATCTCTCTCCCAAGCAACCCTGAACGCATACTATTAAAGTCTTCATGGTACTAAGCCCATACTGTGGGTGTCCAAAAGGAAGACTCGATATTGTGGATGCCTGAATGGAAGACTGCCCACTTCCAGAGAAACACTCTAACATGTTTTTGACCTGTTTTCCAGTATACATGTACCTAAGTTAGGCACAAAGGATTATAGTTGCTAAAAATAGCATCTTGGCATTGTTGCTGCTATTTACTGTGCTGAAAAGCTGCTTCACAATGCATCAAAAGGGGTCAGTGTAAACTATATTTATCTAATTCATACTGTTGATTTAAAATAAAAGGAAGTGGTTATTCGGTTGATGATAGCAATTATGAAAATGTTGTTGGTATGCTACAAAGTACATCAAATTGTACTTCAGATGTGGAAAGTAAAAGTGATGATGATGATTCATTGTTATGACCTGACTGATGCATGTCGTCAACTTCAGCTTATAATGTCGTGCTGTCAGTATCAGCTGATAGCTGTATTCTGCAAGCACGCACATACTGTTATCCTTATTCTATACTGTAATCAACTTTTTTATATAATTGTATTACTGACCCTGAGAATCAAGGATTCCTGGAATTTTTTTCCTTTAACTGGGAACTAATAAGAATTTCTACAAACTGACATAAGCACAAAACGTCTGGAAAATTATGGGTTTCAGGGTTTTTAGCTTGATCTTCCGGGTGAAAGGGTTAATGTGCTGAAGCTATAATTTCTTCTGAGACATCTCTGGTAACTTCTGTATTCATGATTGACTGCTTTTTGCAACTGAGGCTTTCTTCAAAATGCGGTTGTCAATCTCACAGACATCCTCCTTAGGTCTTATAATTTACGACAATCTAACTTAGTGTTCTCATGTTCATGCTATCAGCAAGAAAGTAACATGAAGACTTTATCAACCTGGCAAAATTCAGCACTTTCTGGATGAAAATACACACAAATATTTTATACATCTTACATCCAAACCCATATCGACTACTGATCCACAGTCTGGGATGGTTGCTCCAAATCTAATGAAGAACGACGTTTTCTACAAAATTGTGATTTACGCCTAGTCTCTCATTGACAAAAATTATCTCTATGGCCATCTAACACTCCCACCATTTTGTGAGTGACGTTCAACCACATGAAGACCACAGAACAAGTGACAAACACCCAGTGACACAAAGTGCCACCATTCAGATGAGAGTCACCCAGGCACAAGTACAAGAAACCCCATTCAACCACTAAGTTATATTATTGTTATTATTATTGTTATTGTTATTTTTAATTTAATAGAATAACAGTGGCACTGATGCACCCCAACTTTGAAGGAAGCTCCCAACCAGTCGACTCTTATACGACATGCTTTTTGGGTAGGCAGTGGGACTATTGTTTTCTCCACATAAACTTGTTTGTGCATGTGTGTGTGTATAAGCATGAGAGCATGTATGTGTTTATATGAGGATGTATATGTATGAGTATGCATGTGTCTGTGTACTTATGGGCATGTAAGAGTGTATTTGTATATTTAGAGTGTGTATGATTGTGTACATATGATGTGTGTATGCATTATTTTATTATGTATATTTTTATATAAACATAAAATGCATTACTGATATAATGCAATTTCGGTCAGAAATATGAGTGCTTGGAAGGGCTGAATGTAGGATGGACCTGTGTGCCAAATTTATAACTCTTTGAAATAAGGTTTGTTTGTCTGCATTTGTTGTTTTTACAACATGAACAGTAATTGAAAGTGTTATTATTATCTGCTCTCCTTACAACACTGGCTCCTGTAACAGTTGGACAGAAGGGATATCACACAAGGCAAAATTATTTATTTTTCAACCCTATTGCTGAGATAAAGCTGGGTTTTTTTCTCTCCAGCTTTTGCAGGTTTTGGTCAGACAATGCCAAGTACACCTGTTTGGCAGTTGTGGTACTGGTTGCATAGTGTGAAAAAAAGGGGGTGGGTATCATTATGCTGACAAAAACTAACATTTGGGGGGGGGGGGGGGGGGGGGGGGGACATTGTCTGGGGTGAAGGGGTAAAATCACTCTTAGACAGCAACCTGTTACAGCTTACTCCTTTTTTTTATTATTTTTTTACTTTAAAATTTGCAAAGAATTGTAACTTTGATGTGCAAAACATTTACAATTATTCTCCTATTTCGTCACTCCTATCTAAAATCTGATCCACTATCCTAGGATCATAGTGAAGTAATCTAGCCATAATGAAAAGAGTCTCTTGTTCTAGAAAGATTATGAAGCAATACAGAGAAAAACCAAAGGCTTTTCACACAGGAAAATCTCCAGAATTTACACCTGGAAAGTGGGAAATAAAAAAGGTGTTGACCAATCTAGTGCTGACCTGGGTAAAAAAAAGTAAGTAAAGGGCCTTTTTAAAGTTAGTGGTACATTCTGTATATGATGCAAGACTATTCTTATAGACCAATCAATACCAGGTGAGAGTGATTTGGTCAACATCAAGCCAGCCACCTTTACTTCCCAAGACATTGCTTGGTACTGATTTTAGACTAGGCCATGTCAATTCTGAAAGGGAAAAAAAAATCTGTCTTGACACACATTCAAACCCAAGACCTTCAGGGTGGCAGGTGAGTGCCTATCCATTATAACATAGCATGGCTCCCTGATGTCATGGGAATAGCTGCATGAGCTATGGAATGATGAATGCTATTGTCACTTCTATTCCCACTACAAAACAAACAAACAAAACAACTGTGTTAGCTCACCCAATAAAATCCTGCACTGGTGACTCCTGCGACAATAGAATGAGGTCACTGACATGGTTGATGATCAGCCAGGTCATGTGTTCAGCATCACTTAGGTTCTCACACTGAAAGAAATGGGTTTAAAACACATCTAACTCAAAAGTCTTAGTAAAGGATGCACACAAGCTATCCACCTTCCACCACACATGTCTACGTAAAATTATCAAAATGTTGTGGCCAGATACAACCTCAAGCACTCAACTACTTCAAGTCACAAACCAAGTAACTCTAGACAGTATGATAACCAAGAGAAGATGGAAATGGCTTGGCCACGTTATGAGGATGAATCCTGATATACCTACCAAAACAGCTCTCACGTGGATACCAGAGGGAAAGAGAAAAAAGGGGCACCCAAAAACAACATGGAGACGAATGATGGAAAGTGACCTGAGTACGGCATCTTCAACAAGGAAAACTGCACTGA